AGATTAAAACAAGCCTGATCGGCCGAAAATTTCATTTTTCGCGATTTTTCGAAGTTAGGAGGTGAAGTGGTACACAAAATTCACCATTTCAGACATTTTTATCGAAAATTCACAGCTTGAACACCCTATCAAAAAATTCTCCGGTTACAAACCTCGTTTGTTGGTGATCGAATTCTCCGTCACATTAGACCAACCCCAGTCCGATTGAAACGTTCGAATTTTGGCTAATTTACTGCTTTTCACCCAAATCGAATGTTACTGTTTTCTGATGGGTACCCCCTACTGATTGAAATAATGTACGAAAAATCCGAACGGCTTACTTAACAATTTTAGAAAGTGTACACAAAATCGATAAAAATGTCAGAAATGGTGAATTCTGTGTACCCCTTCACCTCCTAACTTCGAAAAATCGCCAAAAATGAAATTTTTGGCCGATCAGGCTGGACTCAAAATTGCGTTAAATAAAGAAGTCAGAAAGACGACTGCTTTTTTTGGGAAGTTCTTGAAGAACTTCAGCTGTTATCATATCCTGACCAGGTGATTTTTTTTTTTTTAAGAAGCTGTCGTATTTCTTGTGATAGTTGTTTTGGAGTTATTGGTTTAGGCGGCAGATCTAGAGGTATAGGTGTCACAAGTGAAACTGATATAAATTTATCGTGTTCAACATCCATTAAGTTATGAAGTTTGAATGCCTCGGAGAGATGTTTCGCAAGTTTTGGACTTTTCTTTGTCGGAAACGATCCAAGTCCCATCATCATTCCTGAGAGGAGCTACCAAGCTATCAAAGCATCTGCTTGGATAACATCAAAATCATGCTTTTAAGAAAAAAAAGTTGATAACAAATTTTTTAGTCAAATATATAGTTTCATCAAAGAAAACAACATAAAAAACCAATTAACTCACGTGGCAGCTCTGGAATTTTTATACGTAGTTATTACAGAAAATAAACTATTTTGGTCTTTTTTTTTTCTTGTTTCTTTGAGTGTATTATATACGGGATGGATCAGAATTAGTTATTCGATAGGGGATGATTGATCATATTCTAGTGTAATACCATATTATTACTTTTGACTACTAGAAGTGACTACTACTTTTGAAGTACTAGAACTTTAGTATTTTATATAAGTCGTGGGTTCGAATCCCGCTCGGACACTAACTTTTTCATTTCAACCAATTCCTTACATAAAGATTAATCTGTGGCTGTGACGGAATATCAAGTACCCACAGGCCCATCAAATTAGTATAGATATGTTATCTATTTGTAGTATGATGTGAGGGACGGGTCATTTCGTTGGTACTATACTTCCGAAGTGTAGTGGCTTGTCCAGAATGAATGTATTTATTAGCGTGAGAGGTGATGCGTGAAAGGACGTGGCTGTCGAGGAATATCGAGTACTCCACAGGCCCGTCAAACAATTTAGATTAGGTTAGGTTAGTGTGTGAGTGGAACTTGTAAAACAGTTTGAATGTATTTATTAGTGTGAAAGACAGGGGGCCGCAAAATCACGATAATCTTCCGACCTCCAATTTAGTTGTAGTATAGGTTAGCAAATTAGTATGAATGTGAATTATGAAAATGTGTAAATATTATATCTATGTATTTTAATTTATCACGTGTGGGAGGGTAACAACAAGCAAGATAACGAATCCCCTATTAGGTGAATTAGGTGAATCGGAAGGCAACAGTTGTCTAATTGAGGCATAAGATAGATAAGAAGACAAATGCGAGAAGTCTGAGGGAACCGTAATAAGTTGACACTTGTATATACGTAATTTCACAATCTTTCACCAAAAAAAAAAAAAAAAAAAAAAAATTGGTCAATCGGACCACGAAATCTAATGGATTTTTAAACAAATTTTACATTCAAGAGGCCACCGTGATTTATGTTAATACATAAGAATATTTTGTGTAAGACTGGCTTTTGCCCAGAAATGAATAACTAAGAAAAAGAGGTTTGAAGATAATCAAAGCATTTAAAATTTATATGATTTTCATTTTAAATACCACAAAATCTAAATGTATATCTTTTTAATTTAAAACCCCGCTTTGAAATAGTCAGCTTTGGATTTATTTTAATTATGAAAGAAGCCGTATGAGACGAATACAAAGGAAATTGCGCAAAGAAACCTAACTCACAATGCTTTATTAACTCGGATGCTGAGATTTTTGGTTGTTTTTTTTTTTATCGGCGGGTAACTATTATAAAAAGACCTTGTGGTGGACCGAATCCGTTCTTGACACAAATGACCAAAGAAAGTTATGCAACCTGAGGAATAGTTATGTTGTCTGCACGGCGTCCAGAAGAAACCTGAATACGCTCAGACTATTTTGCCCTAATTTTAAAAATGTTAACAGACAAATTGGATTTTAACAACCGTTTTGTTGGAACTTATTTTACTGATCCTGACTTACATTTGGACGTCTAATAAAAAAAATGGATATTTTCAATAATTATCGAATATCTAATTGTATCGTTGTAAAATATACACATGTGTTAATAGCCATGTAGATATTATTTTTGTTTACATTTATTTTAATTTAATGAAGACGTATAGAAGGTTTTTTTTGTAAATTTTTGTAAGCAGGGAGAGTACTGGTTGTAAATCCCTAACAGTCATCAGATTTTGTTGATTTACTGGAGACTAAAGTTAACGCCTTTTTCAACCATTAGTCGTTTTGTTTTATTTCAAATGTAAACTTTTTCCTAATGCTTAACGATCCTGCCGGTCATAAAATTATCTTCCATACAAATATTTTAACATAGATTTGTTACATTCTGACTTTTCAAAGAAGCGTCGAGGGAGAGTAGGCGAATACCCAAAGATAATCCGTCTCTAATCCATCATGATTTTGTATATGATAGTTTTCTCTTTTTGTTCGGATGACACAATCAATCATACTTTTCAAATAATTGTTTGATTGTAATTGGTCGTTTGTGATCATTTTCTATCACTTTTTATGGACAGTGGAAACACGTTAGAAACTCTGACAGATGATGGCGAAAATAAAAAAATCGAAAACTACCATGCTACAGATTTTTAAATTTTTTTACCGAAGTGTTCAATCGATTTATGGTTTACCCTGCTTTCGAGACCAAGAAAACTTGGAAAAATATAAATGTTGTGGAGAAATGACAATTTTTTAAAAACTTTTCATCGAAGTTTTCAACCAATTTATGCCTCACCTGTTTACAACCCAGACCAAGGAGAAATCTCACTATTTATCTAGGTTTACTTATATCAAACCTAAAGGAATTAAATTCAAACATGGAAGAATTAAGGGTTCGGGAGAAATGACACTTTTTTTAAAACGTTTTTGTCGAAGTTTTCAGCCTTTTCAGCCAATTTATGCCCCACCCTGCTTATAACCCAGGCCAAGAAAAAATCTGAATATTTATCTTAATTTTCGTACATAAAACCTAAAGAAATTAAATTTTCGTAACCCTTAGATTTCAAGGAGAAATCTCACAATTTATCTAGGTTTAAATACATCGAACCTGGATAAATTTAAGTGTTGTGAAGGAATTACTATTTTTTTAATCTTTTCATCGAAGTGTTTAATGAATTTCTGCTTCACCCTGCTTATATCCCAGGCCAAGAAAAAATCTCAAAATTTCTACTGATTCTCCTTTCTCTTGATTGTCGAACATCAAACCTAAAGGAATTAGTGTTGTGGATATATGACCATTATTGAAATTCTTTTCTTCGAAGTTTTAAACCAATTTTTGCCTCACCCTGCTTATAACCAGACCAAGGAGAAATCTCACAATTTATCTAAGCTTACCTACATCAAAGCTGGATGAATTTAAGTGTTGTGGAGAAACGACCTTTTTTTATGTTTTCACCGAAGTGTTTAATCAACTTCTGCTTCGCCCTGCTTATATCCCAGGCAAAGAAAAAATCTCAACATTTCTCTTGATTTTCGTACATCAAACCTAAAGGAACTGTGGGGAAATGACCATTTTTGAAATTCTTTTCATGGAAGTTTTAAACCAATTTTTGCTTCACCCTGCTTATAACCCAGACCAAGGAGAAATCTCACAATTTATCTAGGTTTACTTACATTAAACCTAAAAGAATTAGATTTTCGTAAACCTTAGATTTCAAGGAAAAATCTCACAATTTATCTAGGTTTACTTACATTACACCTAAAAGAATTAGATTTTCGTATCCCTTAGATTTCAAGGAGAAATCTCACAATTTATCTAGGTTTAAATACATCGAACCTGGATAAATTTAAGTGTTGTGGGGAAATGACCATTTCGAAATTCTTTTCATTGACATTTTAAATCAATTTTTGCCTCACCCTGCTTATAACCCAGACCAAGGAGAAATCTCACAATTTATCTAGGTTTACTTACAACAAACCTAAAGGAATTCAATTTTCGTAACCCTTAAATTTCAAGGAGAAATCTCACAATTTATCTAAGCTTACCTTCATCAAAGCTGGATGAATTTAAGTGTTGTGAAGAAATGACCTTTTTTTTAATCTTTTCACCGAAATGTTTAATCAATTTCTGCTTCGCCCTGCTTATATCCCAGGCAAAGAAAAAATCTCAACATTTCTCTTGATTTTCGTACATTAAATCTAAAGGAATTGTGGGGGAGAAATGAGGATTTTTTGAAAATAGTTTCATCGAATTTTTCAATCAACCTCTGCCTCACCCTGCTTATATTCCTGACAATCATCATCACCGAAACCTCGTCTGGTATTTGGTTTGTGCTTGTTTTATAAAGGTAATTTTCTTCGATCACTTAACGATCCTATGCAATATTTGAAAATATTTGACCCCATGTTTGCGAGAGTCTAGCCGAAAGATTGATCGTCAAACCAGCGAGAGGAAACGGACCCACTGGCATATGACTTGTACAAGATAATATATTTATACAATTATTATTCTCTCATAGAATTATACTATTTTAAAAAATCTTAACAATATAAGAAATGTTTGTAAGATCTTTTGGCGTCCAGGATAAACGTGTATTTATGTAGTAAATAAATTTATTGTCCTAGAGTTCTCATCAAACAAGGAAATTAAAAAACAGCTGTTCTTCGAATGTTGTCTTCGCGTTTGTTAGCCTTGTTTTATTAAATTTAGTAGAGCTTGTTTGTAGTGGGCGATGTTGCGTCGGTCTTCTGTGGCTTTGGCCGAGGCGGCGACGATGCTCATCCACTTCTACGAGGTCACATACTCCGATTCCTGGTTCATCAACGTCTTATGCCATTTGCCGACTTCAATCTTCCTGATCGGCTGCGGCGCCTTTGTTAAAAAGCACGACATCCTGCCGGTTGACTTCTTACAAGGATTAGACCCACAGAATCAGTTCATCATTAGGGTACGTACTCAGGTCATCTACCTATTGCCCAAGTATGATGTTGAAATGTTTCCTGTACGTTTGTCTTTTTTTGTGTGTATTAATCGTGTTAACACCAAGGAAAATTCAATCAAATCAGTTTATATTAATTAAGTACCCCGTTGGGATAGGTTTGGCAGAATTTTACAAACTGGCTTTGATCCTTCGGCGTCTTGAGATTCGGACATCAATTTATATTTGAGTCATGGACGCCCAGTTCTGTAAAAAAAATAATCCACATTCTAACACATTACGTTCACTTTCACTGCCAATCTAATACATCCACTACTTTACAATTGTACAAAAATAGTATTATTTTTTCATAATCTTGTACGAGGAAAAACGAAACAAATTCAGTGTCTGGTACTAATATCTGTTGATGATCATCATATCATAACTTTCAACCAAAAGCGCGACTTAGGAGAGTCAAATTGTGGCACAACACGCGCTCGTTCTAAAAATAAAACATTTGAATTTTGAAAGAATAAAATTTCGACTAGCAATAAAATAGATAAAACGATATTTTCAATTTATATGGAAAAATTAGTGTCACGACGAAACGGAGTTTCAACCATACTTTAAATAAAAAATTATAAATCAATCAACAATACATACATACAAATCGTTTATAATATTTTATCAAGTAGAAATAATTAGTACTTATCTTTAAATATTAGTTCCATAACAAATTAAGCAGTACACAAGCTACTAAATACATTCACTACCTCACGTTCGAGCTTAATTAAATTCATAATTCAGGCACAAGTATTTTGACCAAAATCGTGTAGATAAATAATTAACGACCACTTTAGATCAATGTATGGTCTTGAAGAAAAAAATAAAGCAATGTTAAATATGTCTACAGATTGACATATTTAAATTTTCTTGAAGACCGACTCAGTCCCAACATTCCCAAGGACGGTAACAGTATTGTTTTGCCCTGATGATGACCTTAAAATAGGTCGAAAGCTCGGCAGTGACGACTGAATTTGCTTTTTTCTTCAAGACCGTACCTTGATCCAGAGTATCCGTGATAAATCTAACACTGACGAATGATTAGAACTGAAGAAGAATGTGACATCCTGGAAGGAAGTTCGGCAGATACCCGCTTTCTTCGTTACGGCATACCGAAAAATTTGGTACAAGAGAAATAGAAAAAAATACGACTCAAAATTTTAACAAAAGTTCAAAATTATTATGCAACATACACCAATTATCAGAAAATAAAATAATAATTTATCTGAAAATTATTGAATCATTTTAATAACATAGTATGAACATAAAACACTGTAAGTCTTTAAATAAATTGAGTGTTTTCATTATGCCAGACCCAAGAATACTTATCTTTTGTAACTAATTGTTTAATTTTCATCTGACTAATTTTTATTCCACTAATTTTAAATAATGCTAATTCCAAGTAAAAACAATTGATTAAATTATAATAAATAAAATAATAGACTTTTTTCAATTACAGTCAAAATTTAAATGTTCAATACAATGTTCTCTTTTAAGAACTTTTACGTTTTCATTTTTTATCTCAACTGAAATGGTATTTTCTGACACACATGGAAAAAAGTTTATTTTTATTATTAACTTTATCAACAGCTAATTAAGGTTTTCAGTTGAGATAAAAAGTCAATGGCACAAGCGGGATTCGAACCCGCGACCTTCGGCTTGATACACCGCTGCTCTACCACTTGAGCTATCGTGACTTCGATCCACTCGGACACCAACTTCCCATCTCAACCACACCTTTTGAATTTTCCCTCCTTTTTGCCATTTTTCAAATGTCGTGTAATCAATTTGATTCTCGCGACAAATGAAATGGCCACGGAGAGCTTTAGTGAAGTATACTTCATTTTAAACTTATTAAATTCACTGTGGTTGAGATGGGTGGTTGGTGTCCGAGTGGATCGAGGTCACGATAGCTCAAGTGGTAGAGCAGCGGCGTATCAAGCCGAAGATCGTGGGTTCCAATCCTGCTCGTGCCATTGACTTTTTTATCTCAACTGAAAACTTTAATTAATTGTAAGATATCAATTGGTCAAGGAACCACGAAACTAGTGAATTTATCAACAGCCTTAAACATTTTCACACCCAATATTTATTTGGGTTTATTTTAATGCATAATACGTTATTACATTACAATTATTTTATTAATTTTAATGCATAGTACATTAACAGTTGAGCATAGTTTTTTTTATATTATTGAATATAATCAGTTATTACCAAATAATGTGTAATTTGTTTAGTTTTCTATAAGCCTTATTTATTTGTGCAAAGAAGGTGTAGTAATTTTTGCAGGTTGGACACATACCTTTTTTTCTACTTGGGACATTAATTTTTATCTCTTCCAATAATTTAGGACAGTACGCAGTAGTGTAATAGATTAAATATAAAATTTACATCACAGATAGTTCTTCTATTTTATCTATTTTTAATTATATTTAAAATAGTTTTTAATTGAAAGTATGATTTATTTTCTAGAGGAATGCCAGATTTAAATGCAAGATATTTAAGAAATTTATGTGTGATGATTAGTGTCCGTCAGTCGATGATTATTGAATCAAAATGATTAAATGATTGAAAAGTTGGCACGATAAAGAAAATGTTTTTTCTGAAACCTACATCACACCAGACTGCATCTCACGATTTCTGAATAATTAAGAAATTTATTTTGAACTTTTTCAATTCTTTGGTTAGAACCTAGGTAGTGTTGTGACCAAATTATTGCATTAAAATCCAGAATAGATCTCACTAATACAGTTTTAGGTCATTGGCAAGTTATTAAATATTTTGTAAAACATTGTGATATATCATTGAAAATATGTCGAACAATAGTGGAGAAAAGTTCCCACCTTGTGGAAGACCAGAAGTAACATCAATCGATTGGGAATGTGTTATTATTACAATTATTTGGGTTCCTTCCTTTAAACAGTTACTACACCATTTTAATAAATTGCCTCAGAAACCAGTCAAAAGTTTTAGTAAAATCAGTAGATTACACCTACTTGGTGACTTTTTAATATGAAATATTCAACACTGATAACCAGTTGTATAGAAGATAGTTAATTGATTTCTAACATTCCCTCATAAAAATTGCAATATTTTAAAAATTTGCAAGAGAAAATGAATAAAATGTTTTATCAACATTTTGGGCCAAAACACATGCATATTTGACTAAAAATGTTTTACACATTTATTTATAATTTGGGAGTCAGTGGCCACAACAGGTGAGGTGTTGACACAGCGAATCTCTGCAGCCTGTGTTCGAACCCAATGTACTTACAAATGAGATTTTGTTTAAAATCATCAGCACCCCAGGGGTCGATATAGCCTGTGCTATTGCATTAGTAACCCTTCGGGATGAAAGTCCAAAAAACAAATAGTAATAGGTGAGACTAATCTGCCTTGGTCTATTAGAATAAAATCAGGAATAAGGTCAAGTTCAGAATTTTCAATATATAATAAAAAAAGTGAATTATGTTTGAGATCTTTTTGACCATATTTTGTTCGCAAGTAAGATTTTTGGATAAGACATTTAATGTCAGTTCCAATCCAGTTTTTAATCAATTAAATTTTTCTTTCTTGTTTATTTTTACACTGTTGTGTAAAAACGCTGAAGAGTTATTATATAAAAATTTGTCTATAATTAATTTTTTTTTCAGTTCTTGATTTTTTTTATGCTGCTGAACGTATGTGTCCATGGGTTCTGGTTCAGCATCGAGAGCTTCATCCTCTTCGGCCTTCCGGATCTAATCGATAGCACGGTAATTCAAGCCCGGTTTTACCAGTTTGAATTATGAATTATTTTACCGATATTTTTTCCCGTGTTTCAGATCACTCTGACACCATCCGGGAAATGGTACGGGTTGATCACGGTGCCGGAGAAACTGTGGACGTCGATTCTTGCCTTGTTGGTATCTCTGTTCTGCCTGGCGACCATCTCTCCGAGGGCGCAGATGAAAAGGCAACAAATGTCATGAATTCAAATACAAGTGACGAATCGCTTTTTGCGTTTTATTTGATTAATTAATTAATCGACTTTCTACGCAAGTAATCACTACTGAAACTGTCGGATAAAATAATCAATAATATTTTACAACCTCTTATGAACAATCTTAAATTTGGTAACAAGCTGTTATTCTTCTGGCAGATTTAAAAAAAAAATCTAAAAAGTTATCAGATGGAACCAAATTTCCGATAATCATTTTATTCGTAAAATTATTTCAAAAAAATAATTAAAGTAAACATAAATGCTCTGATTGTCTGTTAGAAATGTAAGGTAATTAGGTAATTAATAAAAAAAATCTATTATAATATCAACGTTTCTATTAAATTATTGATCAAGTACTACATACATCAATATAAATTCTTTTGATATATACATGCTTTTTGTAAACTTTTTACAACCACTTTTCACAAATATTGACATCTCACTCCCTCAGACTTTATTTTTCATTTTGTATCGTCAGAATAATATATACATATATTCATAATTTTCACCTCACACGACTCGTTTATTAACACATTTACACTTTTTTTTAACCTTTACAAAACATCATTTAGCGTTAGAGTAAAAAAATTAAATGCAATTATTAAAAGTAACTTTTCATTTTCAAATGACAGATCACAGGGCAATAAAGAGAAGAAAAGTAATTTAAATAAGTACACAGGTCAACAATTCAAATATTACATCTAAAAAAACATATACTATATAATTTAAAACAAACAACATTTATTTTTTAAGCATTTGTAAAAAAATATACAATTATTTTTATAAGTTGAAAAATTAATGAGATTTGTTACAAAAATTGTTAAACATTAAGATGAGTGACAAAAACCGAACAAAAAAACCATACATCTAAAATTAAGCAATACACATAGAAAGACACCAAAAAAGCATTGGCCACGTGTTTTCTTATAAATGTAAATATACCATTTGTATTAATGGAAGAAGATTTGTTTTTGTGGCCTTTCTCTTATTTAAGTGTATCACAAGCATAACAGACTCAGCGATACTCTGTCGAGTAATTCTGTTTAACAAATAGAGCAATTTCCATATATATATTTTTTTAATTCCTCAATTCAAATATTTCTAAGTTGGCACATTGAGTAAAGTTTAATGTAATTTGGGCCGATTTTGGTTCCATTGGTTAAAAAAAAAAATTACTCTGTTGCACTGTGACTTTGGGTAATATATATATAAAAAAAAAGAGACAGTATTGCACTCGCTTTTAACAACAACCATCTTGGCCGATTTCAATAGAGAATATCCTAAATGTCTGTCACAAAGATCGTGTTTAAATGGAATGTTTAAAATTGTTCAATAAAAAAGTAATAAAATAAAAACACAGCCTTCCAAAAATTATTTTACAAAAGCTCTTTAGCCCTTTTAAAAATACACGATTCTATAAAATAAAATGAAAAAATCGAGACAAAAAATAATACAATTTAAAAACTAAATAGTCCACTTAAACAAACACCCAGGAGCCAGACAATGCTTCAAAATGAAAAAACGCGACACCTAACATTAATGGACGTCAAAGAACTGTTATAATACTTGCTTTGATTATAATTTATGGCCTATCCAATAAACTATAACAATTTACAAATATGTTTATGATAAAAATCTGTTGATTAAAACATACTTAGCACAAACGATTATGTTTGTAACACTTAAAAGCACAAACAGAAATGGACAGAAATTGTTTGTTTTTTCGTGATTCAATGTTTTCATGTTTGGAATTAAGTGCTCAATATTAAAATTAGTACATTTAAGACAAAAAAAAACATAAAAAAAGCTACATGGATACAAATTTGTTATCTATACGATCAAACAAAGGGACTTTTTTTTAAATGATCTCTGGTATAGAGTATATTTATCATTGCTTCCATTACTAAGTTAATATTTAGAAATTTCTTTTCTAAAAATAGAAATCCATCTAAAATTAAAATTAAATTAGATTGTACTAAAATTGAACTTAAAATCTCAACCTCCTGTTGTAAAATTATAAAATTATGAAATAATACTTTTTTAGCTTTCAAAGTATAGAAAATCGCCTATGCAGAAAATGAATGTTAACTGATAAAACAACTAATTAATCTTTTTATGCGGGATTCGAAGCCACAACGTTGGCTTCGAATCTCGCTCATGACATTGACTCATTTCAATCAAGACCTTAAATAAAAAGATTAATTAATTGAAAGAAGTAATTTGGTCAATCAGACCACTAAATATAATAGATTGATAAAACGTTGAAATGCTTTAAAAAACAAAAAACTTTGTTAAGAGATTTTTCCCTCTTTCTTTGAGAGAAAAAGTACAAAATGCAATAAGTAAATTATTGCTTTATAAAATATTAAATTGATAATTTTTGGCTTTTTTTGACACATTTTTGTTTAAAATATTGTCGTTGTATTATTAAATATTAAAAATATTACCTTATAATGAAGGTGAAGTTGAAAATAAGACCTTATGTTGAAAAATAATAGCTAGGAATGGCTGCTTCTTCTACGGAGGAATGCCCTACCGTGACTGTGGCCTCGGTTGAGCAGGACGAGCGCAGAGGCAATGGCAAGCCTAGAGGGGGCATAGCCACCTCCGGGCAATGTGACAAAGACGGTTGTAACCGCCGCCAACGAATCGCCCGTCGGTTCTATCGCTACAGGCCTGAGACTGAAATCTGAGGATGAAGAGGGCTCGACGAGGACACTAACCCCGGCAAACGGCCTTTTAGCCATATGCAGCATTTCAACGACATGTCGCCTCCTCGCCCTCCGCATGTCAGTCGCCTGCTTCGCCTTCCATGCAACGACGCAAGCCGCCAGGAAAAGAAAGAAGCAGGAGAAGAAGACAGAGAAGAATACAAAAAGGTCGATATGAAGCTGATCCTGTCGGAAAAACACAGTACCATACGTCGGCTTGTTCACCGCAAGTAGAACCATATAGAACTTGGCCTGGTTTAAAGAATGAGTCTCATAAGGTAACGTTATGACCAGCCTATCTGTTATGTTTCTCACAATGAGCAACGAATTGTTGTGTTTTACGGTTATGTGAGCACTCAGCCCTTCTGATAATTTTTCAATTAAATTAACTGTTGGGCGGTGTTTCAAATTTGGTGGTGCTGGGCCGGTTTTCTCAAATAAACTTTCACTGCCAAATAAAAACCTGAAATCATTGATATTAACCTTATAATGTGTTTAAACAAGATTTTAAAAAACAGAAAAACTGTGCTTTCCCAAAACCAATCAGAATAACAGGTTCAATTCAATAAAATTAACTCATAAATAAAAAGAAAAGAAAAAATTCAAAACTTACCTCTGATCTAGTTTTATCATGTGGGCATATGTTGAAGTATTGAGTTCCACAACAAAGGCATCGTCCTTAGGGCTTAGATACAAATCAAGACTACCTTGGGTGACATCCACTGTTATACGAATATCAACATTCATAAACCTCGGCTGAACAGCAAAGAATGACTGAAAATATAAATAATTGATTATAAATAAATGTACTGAATTGATTATACACAAATTATGATAAGCAAAAGATAAAAGAAAACAAAAACTTCTGTTCCCCCTAATTTTTTATTGAGGGGAAAACTCCCGAAACATTTTTTCCCTGGTTTCTCATGAACCACGAAGTTTTGAACTAACTCTCCAGGGTAATGGGATACAGATAGGAACTTAACTATTTCTAATAGCAAGGTACTCATCAAAGTACATGTTTCTGAAGGTTTTTTGACAATCAATTCAACGGTTTCAAGAATTCAGCCTGGTGAAAATTTCCACCACAAATACAAACTTAAATTAATGATGGATAAACGAAATGTAATTAAAAATTGATTTGTTGGCATTTGAGGATTGTGAATAATTCTAAAAAAAATATTGAAATGTTTTAACCCTTATCAATTAATTAAGGTTTTGGTTGAGATAAAAAAGTCAGTCACAAGCGGGATTCGAATCCACGATCTTCGGCTAGATATGCCGCTGCTCTACCACTTGAGCTATCGTGACCTCGATCCACTCGGACACTTACTTCCCATCTCAACCCCACCTTTTGAATTTTCCCTCATTTTTGCCATTTTTCAAATGTCATGTAATCTGTTTGATTCTCGGTGACAAATGAAATGGCCACAGAGAAGCTTTACAGAAGGTATACTTCATTTTTACTTATTAAATTCACTAGTTTTTGTGGTCCAATTGACCAATTAATATCATTCAATTAATTAAGGTTTTTTGTTGAGATAAAAAAGTTGAAAAATGGCAAAAAGAAGGGAAAATTCAAAAGGTGGGTTTGAGATGGGAAGTTAGTGCCTGAGTGGGTCGAAGTCACGATAGCTCAAGTGGTAGAGCAGTGGCGTATCAAGCTGAAGATCGTGGGTTCGAATCCTGCTCGTGCCATTGACTTTTTTACCTCAACTAAAAACCTTAATTAATTGTAATTGTTTTTTAAGTTGGCATCTAAAGTTTACAAGTTTCTGAACTTACGGCTTGTCCGGGATTGAGAGGGACGGTTTTAACGCCGGAATCATCGACGAGTTTAGCTCCGAGGCTGAATGTCAAATCAAAAGTCATTTGTTTGTAGCACTGGTGCCCCTCAGTCGGAATGCCCATGTATGATTCTTTACACTTTGAACATTGAACTTCCCAGCAAGAATGGCTCTTTCCGGAACATGTAGGATCGCTTTCCGTATTATTATGACAGTCACAACTGAAAAAAAAGTTTTTTTTAAAAATAAATATTGTGTAAATGAGAATTAATCTAAATGAAATTTTAAAAAGATCTAACTACAAAAAGAAGTTTGTCTTAATTTTTTTTTTTTTTTTTTTTTTTTTTCATGCCCATTAAAAACTTTATTTCCCCAAAGTATTCAAAATTAAACATATTTACCCTTCGCCAGTGACGGCATTACAGGTGGAGCCGTGGCCATGGCATTCACAGGGCCTGCAGGCTACTTTGTGGTCCTCGCTACCTCGGAAGTTCCCGGTTATGCATTCCTCGCACTTGTCGCCAGTTGTACGGTTGGCGCAGCCGACGCATTTGGCCTTTGACAAAGGGCCTTCGGCGAGGAACTGTTCCAACTCCTCGATCGATTTGCCTAGAAGGAATTCGGCGTCAATGCCGAGGGTCTCGTTGACACAGATGTGGGTGTGTTCGTTGCAATAAGTCGAACAAGGGATGCACTCTCCGTTGTCGCTCGGGTCGCCGACAAACAATGGTTTGCACCTTTGGGGATTTAAAATCAAATTATCCACTTATTTTGTATAATTGCTTCTAATGCTAGACTAGACAGGTTTTTTTCTATTTTTACGAAGTCCAATGCCAATAGTAGTCATCAGTATTAATTTAACCCTGGGTCTCTAACCTTAAACCGCTAGATAGCACTACAAACGCAAATCAACTTTCTAAGCCTTTCTTTGTTGGTAAGTTTGACCTTTCTTGTAAATAATAATATGTTCCAAAATTGAAGTCCATCCACCTAGGTAAGGGGGGGGTCAACAGCTAGGTCAATTCAGCACCCAACGCATGCCGTTCCAAACTCATTCGTACTCATGTTCATTCTTAAATACATTCACATACCATTCAGTCAATTAGGGTGATGGAGTACTCGATATTCCACCACTGACCCTCGCACATCACACATTCACACATAAATACATTCACCCCAACACAAACTAGGCATACACAACTACTATTAATATATACAATAAAACAATCCCTTTCCTCCAAGAATCAGATCATGGGACCCAAATAATCGCTGCCGTGCTCAAACACAGTTTTTATATTGGGTGGCGCTCTATGTATGGAGCCAAGGAATTGCACCCTTTAGTAAGGTAGGACACATCGAGCAACCTTTCTCTGCATATCGGACACATACACAGGCTTTGTTCCAAGTTAAAATCATTCAAGTAATAAAAAATGTATTTATTATTTTTATTATAAATAGTTTCATTGTTTTTTTAAATTTATTTATATTCTTTTTAACTTTATTTTTTAACACTTTTAATTTTAAACAATCAAATTAAAAAACAAATTGTTAACATATAATTTTATTGATTATTTGGAGATCATGAGAGTCTGGTGTGACCTAGGATTTAGAAAAACATTTTCTTTATCGTGCGAACGTTTCAATCTTTATTGAGATCATCCTCAGGGCTCAAAGTGTTTGTTTTCTGTGTAGATATGTCATTATTGGGTGTTGGGGCACTTTCAACATGACACTCAGTAATGACACAAAAACAAACATTTGAACCCTGAAGCTGGGGGTCTTTGGGATGAACCCAAGACCAAACTGGTTTAAACCTAGGCAAGTATGCTACAGTTTTCCAGTCTGAAATCATAGCGATTGAACAATGTGCCAGAGAAATAAAAAGGCTAGGAATACATTCCTGGAAGATAGCCTATTTTCTCTGATAGCCAGGCAACTCTTAGGGCCCTAGCGGCATGCAAAGCGAAAGCAAAGCGTGTTTGGATCTGCATGGAGCCCCTGATGGAAGACTGTGACACTAACGACCTCACCCTGGCATGGGTCCCTGGATATTCGGGGCATAGCGGCAACGAAAAGGTTGACATATTGGCCAAAAAAGGAGCTAATGTACTCTCTCGGCACTGAACCCTACTGTGGCTTAGCATCCTGCCACAAAAGAGGATACATCGAAAATGGATCCTTAATGAGTCCAAAACCTAGTGGAATAATACAACAGGTATGAGGCATGCGAAGAGATTCATAGAAGGACCATCCGCCAAACTTACAAAAGAATCACCGGAACCATGTTTTTGTTTGGACTCCTGACAGGACAGTGCCACTTAAGAAAGCACAGCAAGATCCTACACCAAGGAACCGCTGGTAAAGCTGTGGAGGCTGGTTGATAGCCTGAAGCTGGCCAGTATTATAATTAACAGAGGAGCACAATAGATCTATTTAGGTCGAGGTACAGTAGGCCTTGTGGCCGCCTTTCTTATCCCTTTCCCTTGAGCCCTGAAGATGATTTCAATAAAGAAACGGTGGCACGATAAAGAAAATGTTTTTCTAAAGCCTACGTCACACCAGATCACATCTTACGATCTCCAAATAATCATTAACTAACGGTCACTAAACACCACACGTATAATTTTATTGTTGTAAATATGCTGTTTTTTTAAATAATTTTTTTAAATTCAATTTGAAAAAATTAAAATATGAATAATAAATAACAACAATAAATATTAGAGAAAAAAAATTGTTCTTATCTTTAAAAATCTTATCTAAAAAAGTTTTTTCCTTCTGTTTTGTTCAGCATAGAAATATTTTTCCTTTACATTGGGGAAGAAAAGTCATCAAAAAAGTTTTTGAAATGATGTAAAATACAAAAATGCTAAATAATTTGTAACTCAACAGTTGAATCACACCAAGGATATTAGGTAAAGTGTGTAAAGTTGCAGGTTTGCAAACTCAGATTTTTGTCGCTTACGATTGACTCCAGTGTAGAGTCACTGTCTAAAATCCTAACAAGGTAAACGGCAAAAGGCAAACAAGAATGCCATTTGTGAGTCGTACAACATTATTTGCTATTAATTAGAACCTAAATGCAATCAATCTATCATGTTTCTTGAAAAAATTCTGTAGCTCGGTGAAGGTCTCAGATTTAGGTCCTGTGTTGAATGGGTTAAGATAATCTCACTGTAAAGTCTTACAATTTTTTTTTTCTTGGTTATACGTTGGCATATTACCCTTGAAGTTTTCTATTTTCAATTTACTGTCGAGCGGGATCGGCCGACCAGGACCAGGTCCTCGCCACGCGCCCGCAACCACTCATTCAGCTCATCTTCTAAATTTTCATCAATTTTATTTTCAAAGATAATCAAAAAGAAATGTTTATCGTCTTTAGAAATCTATAGATTATGTTGAAAGCTGATGGATTGTTGCTTATTAGAACAGATTCTAAGTTTATTGGTTTGGAAATGTTTGGGACTTTGCTCAGATTTTTTAGCAGTTTGTCTCTTTCATTTTCGTATTCTGGACATTCAAAAATTATGTGGGAAGGATTTGAAGGGCAATCAATCGCAAGTGGGACAGTTCGGAGACGATGCCAAACTTGCCAAAGTCTTACAATGCAATAATCTTAAAATAAATTACATAATTGAAGACTGGACATCAATAACAGGCTAAGTGCCAAACATTTTTCTTGAGTTATTCAAATTTTTAAAATTTTGTCATGTAAACTTTTTTTAATAACCCAAGAAACAATTTTTGGTAATTATCTAGGGTGGAATACATACTGTTATTGCAATTTTTTTAAAACTTCTATTCCTCCTATGAATGATAATTACTAATTTATTTGGAATAACTTAGAACGTGCTATGTTCCATACCCTTTTAGGCAAAAACGAGGTAAGTGCCAATGAAAGAAATGTCTAGAACTGTATAACTTTTTAATAATAAAAATTAGCAAGGTACATTTATTAACTGGTTAATTGTTTTGAACTCTTAGTTCTACTTTTTAAGAACATGAAACAATTTTCTTTATAGATTAGTTTTTCGAAGAATCTCTGTTTTCTTCCTTCAAATACGGCAGAATCTGTTACAGATCCTTTTTCTTTTCAGCAGACAAGTTGTTTGAACATGGAAGTGATGGTAAAACAGAATCTTTGATGATCTTTGACGTAATCCCTTTCTTACTAGACCTTGCAGGTGTTCCATGATTTGAGTTCATTAAACATCGTTCTTGTCTTCACAGCTCCGGATGCGGCTTTTTCAACTCTAATCCATCTGCATTTGGAAATATTTAGTTTCATCGTTTTGTTGAGAGAACTAGTTTGAAATCGTAGAAGTCCTCAGGTTGGAGCATAGTGACTACAAAGGGATTATTCGGTGTTGCATTCTTCATAAGTTTAACCAGGTCATTAGCAACTTTACACTTTTCGACTCTTTTAGGTTTCTCAATCTGGGCAATATCTCTGTCACACAACAGAAATGAATGGCCGGAGACCAAAATCAACACTAGCATCAGAGATTATAGTCTTGGTGGCACTTAGCCCGTTATAGCTTCAAGAAGGCACATACCTTTCATACCATCTTTCGGGCTTTATATGTACTGTTAAAAATGGGAGAGGCACATAGCCCGCTTTTTAGGTTGCTGGCAATGGCACTTAGCTTGGTTTTTTGCGTCTAACTCAATTTTGATTTTTTTGGCACTTAGCCCGCTGTTGATGTCCAGTCTTCAATTATATTTATTAAATTAAACTTTTACCTTCCACAAGTTGGCCCCTGTGTGTTATTTTTGCATTCAAGACACTCGTCTAGCTTGTCCGGCCCAGCGCAATGCGAGTGCCCGTTACACTGGCATTGGATGGAGCAGTTTGCGCCTACGTATCCAAAGTCGCAAGTGCACATATCGGGTGAAGTGCAACGACCTCTGACACAGCCTTGTGAGCAGACGGGTATGCAGTCGCCTTTGTGGGGTTCACCGCTTGGTTTGTATCCTAAATAAAAAACACTTGGTTATTAAAAACTTTACACTTTGTTTTGACTAAAGAATCTTTTAAGAGCTTATAATATTGTGATATGTAACTGTGAAATTTTTTTTTTTTACCTGGTCCGCAAACACACTGATATCCAACAAGAAGGTCGACACAGCTCTCAGAAACTTTGTCACAGTTGTGGTGGCCATTTTCACACTCGTTTTCATACGGACACTTAACATAATTCCAAGAGAACTTCATATCATTCGTGGAAACTGTCGTGTTCATTTTTGTAGAATAAAGCGCTTCGCATGTGCCCATTTCTGGACCGAGGGCAGGTTGGTCTAAAGACCCTTCTGAACAAACGCCCTAGGAGGAAACAACAAACGTACAATCGGTTATAATTTAAACAAAACCAGTCTTACCAGTCCTGAAGATTTAGCTGATTCTAAAGAACACCATCCGCAATGAGCATGGCTGAGGCATTCCGAGCATTGATTGAATGTCGCACACGGCTGTGGGCAGTGGGAGCCCTTGCTCAGAACCAGGCCGCACACGCCTCCGGCACAAACCAGGCTCTGGTAGCTTGGTGAAATACATTCGGAGAGCCTCGTCGACCACCTGCACTCGCCATAATTCCCTTCTCCTCCCTATTTAAAATATAAATACTAAATTCCATCCAACTTTTACTAATTATTCAAAATATACCGATGACTGTAGACACGAATGGCAGTCTGTATATTGTGAACATCTTTTCGGACAAGTGGCTTCATTTTTAATCCGACTACTGTTGGAGCTGGCATCAGTGCAAGACCAATCGTGCATCAGCTCTAATGATCCTGACATATCATCACTTGTCTTTTGTCTGAAAATTTAGCAAAAATTATCAATGAATAAAAATTCACTAATTTCGTGGTCTGCTTGACCAATTAATATATTACAATTAATTAAGGTTTTTAATTGAGATAAAAAAGTCAATGGCACGAGTGGGATTCGAACCCATGATCTTTGGCTTGATACGCCGCTGCTCTACCACTTGAGCTAAGTTTTTAATTGAGATAAAAAAGTCAATGGCACGAGCGGGATTCGAACCCACGATCTTCGGCTTGATACGCCGCTGCTCTACCACTTGAGCTACAACTTGAGGTCACGATAGCTCATGTGGTAGAGCAGCGGCGTATCAAGCCGAAGATCGTGGGTTCGAATCCTGCTCGTGCCATTGACTTTTTTATCTCAATTAAAAACCTTAATTAATTGTAATGAAAAAAAAGTTACCCTAGAATATAACATTTGTATAAAATATGAATATAACCTTGTCCAAGAGCAACCAGCCATGGATCTGCATTTTTCACAGTCAGACGCAGAGCAAGCCATTTCAGGACAGTATGTGTCAATTGTTATTTCACTCATGTTTTTTCTTTCACACCGCTCTTCCTTGCATTCTGTACTCACTGGGATGCATTTCCCGCCGTCTCTACATCTAGGACACCACTTACAAACCTAGTAATATTAAATTTCAATTAAAATCTGAAAGAAAAATTCCAATGTTAAAATAAGTCACCTGAGGCCTGTCCCAGGTGATAGGCCACTTGGCCACACAATCTGTGCAAGTTGAGAACTGCTCGCAGGACCTGCTTTGAATCCAGTCGGTGCCGCAGGCTGCGCCATTGGATAGCGTGGTCGTCCCCATTGTCTGGCTGTTCTTCCCACAGGGGCCGTTCATGTTTCCTAACGAGTTGCTGACATTGACCGCTTTGTAGCAGAAACTGGAATTCACCGTGCCGTTGTTCGATATCGAGCAGTAAGTGCAACCGAGGAAGAGCCTGACCAAAATTGAAATTATTAAATGGTAGATGTTGTTGTCAAGCTTAACATTCACCTGCATTTTTCTTTAGTAGACCAAACAGAGCATAAATCATTAGGGAGAGAAATTTTTGTCACATGGCTGTCAGTACCGCCTGTAAACCCTCCCATTATATATGCGACTACCTTCTTACTTCCTGAAGTGGCATCGATGTCGAGAGTCATGGAATGAGCGTAAGTGTCAGGTGGCATATTTCCAACAACGTTCATTCCTTTTTCAAACAATTTTAGTTATAATTTTGTTTTTTAAACAAACAAATTAATTTTATTATCAACCTTTTAAATAGAGTTTGTACCAGAGGTTGCAAGCATACGAATATGCTATAAGGGTTTCTGAGCTCGCCTCTGGATCTGTCCTTCCGCCAAAAACCAACATGTACTCATCAGTGGTAACGGCAGAGTGAAGAAATCTTGCTCTGGGCTGAAAATAAATTTTATAGACCGAGGAACAACAGTAATATTTACAAATAAATTATAATTTACCAAATTGAGTCTTGGAGGGTTGTAACTGGAAAAAGTAGGCAGCGCTGTCCATGTACTGCTCGGATAGTGAAAAGCAAACAATTTATCTGATATGAACGTTCGATTTGAGCCGTAAATGTAACCGCCGAATATGTAAAAACTCTGTGTAGGCTCGTGATACACAGTACTGTGACCGTAAATTCCTGGAAAATAGATGAAAATTGAAAGAAAAATTCAAAACCTTTCCGGGTTAGCTTTTTACCAATTGGACGGTAGCCTAAGGTTTTAATCTTATGCCAATTATTTTCCTTTGGGTCGTATTCCCAGACGCTATCTAAAAATCCAAAATTGGGGCTGCAACCTCCGATCAGGACAAGAGATTCTGAATCGCCGTGCCTTCTCAAAGTTAAAGTGTGGCCTGCTAACCCCGGTGGTTTTTCACTGGTCTAAAATGAAAACAAAATTGGACAAAACTATTGAATTAATTACACATTTAAAACATAATTGGAATGTTAATAACAAATAGAATAATATTCAAAGAAAGTTTATCTTATAAAAGTAATATAATTACTTACATTACAATAGAAATATTTACATTTTTATAAACAATAAACATTTATAATATAACAAACATAAAAAAATTATTTAATATATGCATTCATGAAAACTTTTTATATGCTTTTAATAAAAAATTTACCTCGATTCCAACCCAGTGTTGATTTTTAAGACTAAATTTCCAAAAATCATTTAAGGTTGTATTCTGTCTCAGCGCTTGCTCACCACCGGACGGTGTCTGTTCGCCACCTCCAGCAGCAGCAGCTGTTAACCCTCCATGGATAAATATTTCCCTCCTTGAAAGGGATATCTCAGCAGCATGGAAATATCTGCCACGAGGCATGTTCGCATCGTTCGTAGAATCTATTGTCACCTGAAAAACAAAATCGGTAAAAACTGGCATCGATTAAATATTGTAATAGACATACCTGCATCCAAGTATTGTTTTTTGTATCGAACAGACGTATGTCATTCAAAGGACCGTGAGAAAGCGAGTAACCGCCGAAAAGCCAAAGCGAATTCCTCCTGTCCGCCAGCAACGAGTGGCCGAACCTGGGCAGCATTTTCCTCAAATGTTCTAGACTGTCAGAAAGGTGGGCAGAATTAAAAAGCTCCGTGAATATAATCTGGTTCGACGAATTCAAAGGCTTGGAACAGTTCACTCCTCCCCAGCCTTCCGAGCAAAGACACCTCCCATACCCCTGTAGCATCAAAGAATTAACGTTTTCCTTCAGGAAAAACGCAGAATTTCGAAACAAACCTTGTCACAGACACCCCTGTTCAAATCAGATGAACAGTTGTTCGGGCAGAGAATGTCCTTGCAGTCATGCCCAGTCCGGCCTTCCGGGCATACGCAAGAACCTTTCACACAAATTCTTTCAGGAAGGCAATGATCAGGGCATGAAAGTACAGATACGGTAGCGTTAAAACCTCCCCTCGAATCTCCACCAGATTTGTAGTGGACAGTCATAACACCTTTAAAAAAAAAAAAAAAATACTGTGAGCTTTCCTGTTGGGGGTCTTCATGTTGATAAACTTGTATTTTGGTTGTTGAAAACCAAAATGATCTAAAACTACCAAACTACAAACATTAAGTATTTGAACCTGGCCTTAAAGTCAAAGTGTCAACAAAAAAAATTATTCATAGAAAATGTCTCTTAATTCAAAAATGAAATTTTGAGACATGCTCAACAAAAATTTAATTTGGAATACAGAACAAGTATTTAAAAATTACTGTAAACTCACTGAAACTGGGAGGGAAATAAAGGAATGGAATCAAATTCAAAATTACATTCACAAAAAGAAAACTACCTGATTTTGCTTGAACAGTCACTGGATACTGGCTGTCTTGCGTGCAGAACACGCCGAGAACATGACTTTGATGGTTGCCAGACGATGATACAAATTTTGGAAGGCCGTCATAGATGTAAACGCTGTTCTCAGTACAGCCAACTTCGATATCTCTGTCTATCTCCAGTTGAATGATGCTGTTCACTCTGTAAAGTGTAATTCTTAATACGGACTTTTTAGTTTCAACGAATTATCATGGACAGAGCCAGATGTAGGATTGCTACTTGATCAACGAATAATTTCATAATTAAAACAACAGACTTTTAAGAGAATTTTTGATATTGCAATAAAGAATTAAGATATAAAACAATATTTAATTGTAAATATAAATTGTTGTAAACAACCAATGTTATAATAATTAAATAAAAATTGGAAGGACTGGTAAAAGCCAAACTTCATTGATTATACCATCATCGGGGTACAAACTTTGATTAAAACTAATTCAACAGTTATTTAAAACTGAAGAATATAAGGAGAAGATAGTTCATTTTACTGTTCTGTACCACAACTTACTATACTTAGACTTCATCCCCCAATTTTTTTTATACATTATTTACCTCAATGCTTCAACAAATATAAACATCTCTTTAACACTGAAGGCACTATAATCGTATTAATTGAAAACTGTTGAAATTACGCTGGGTGATCTGTAATTAGTTGTTAATCATAATAACGGTCAAATGAGGGGGACCGCGGTAGCCGAGTGGTTAGCATGAGAGACTCTCATGCCGCGGTCGTGGGTTCGATTCCCACCGTCGCCTCTGGCCCTTTTTTCCCGATAACCCCCAATTTGAACACACCAGAATTCGTACTATGGCTAATATGCAAGATCATAAGGCCAATAAATAAAAAATTAAAAAATAAAATTAAAAAAAAAATTAAAAAAAAACGGTCAAATGAAGTTGTATTTCATGAAAAATATAAACAGCAGTTCAATCATCGCTTATCACACCGATCTGACAAACAAAAGGAAAACGGCACACCGCAATATAGGAATATTAGACATACAAGATTAAAAACTCTTGACAAGTGACACAAACTGAGACTAAACTCCTTTTTAAAAAGATAGTTCCTGCGCACAGTATAAATATAAAGATATAGTTATCTTTTTAAAAAGGATTGAACACCGCACTCACTCCACCATTCGTCATTTTTACAAACTGAGATTTTCAAAAATTGCAGTTGGTGATAATATTGAACTAGCAGTGCTTTGAATTTCTCACAAAACTAGAAAAAAAATTTAAATTCTCTTCAGCAGCGATAAAAATGATTAATCAATATGAAATTTGAGTACTTAGCAAAAATTAAATAACTCTGCAGAAGGTGCATACTGCATACTGAAATTTCTTTTTTAGTTATATTTTTACTCGGAATTTTTGTTCCAATTGTGCCACGAGTGATTAATATTCGTTCTTTATGTTTTTAAGGATGAGGAGGGACACATGCCATTTTTTACTTTTCTTTATCTCAGTCGCTAAGGAGCCGTTAAAGAGAAGGTGGCCACTTTAATTTGTTTGAGAATGCTTGAATTAATGCTCATGTTTGTCATTTTTAAGAGAAATACACTTCAAATACAGCCCTAAGAAGAGATTTTTTAAATAAATTTTATTTGATAATGGCTGTGCTAATTAGAAAGATTTCATTGAAGAAAGAAAAGTTGAAAAGTTAAAAATAGTCTATAAAAGTGGTATTTTAAAATACCTTTTAAAAAAATTATGTCATTTGTTTAAATAAGTATTTAACTCCTCCTAATACTGCAACGTCTTTTATACATTGATGGAAAAATCTAATGCTCTACTCAATTTATTTAGTAACAGGTAATTAGGAGCTATTCTAGTCAAAATAAACATTAAATAATACTTTAAATTCACTAATTTCGTAGTCCACTTGACCAATTAATATATTACAATTAATTAAGGTTTTTAGTTGAGATAAAAAAAGTCAGTGTCACGAGCGGGATTCGAACCCACGACCTTCGGCTAGATACGCTGCTGCTCTACCACTTGAGCTATCGTGACCTCGATCCACTCAGACACTAACTTCCCATCTTAACCCCACCTTTTGAGTTTTCCCTCCTTTTTGCCATTTTATTTATTGTTTTTATAAAATATTGTTTATATAAAAACATTATAAATACAAGTAACCAAAACTGACAAGAAATGCTGTTTTTTGTGCAAAGGACAAAATTATGGGCTGTTTTTGAGAATGCGACAGAAATGTTTGAGCACGAAAAATTTCTTATGATATCAAGAAAAACTTGTTTTCATTATTCAATCATTTTTCCATTGTCCATTAATATGTTCTGATAATAATAATTAGAAAAAAGTTATTCGACTAGGTAAAGTAAACAACTTTTTATAAGTTGGGTTGGTAAAGCGTAGTTTGGGGATGATTAGGGTGTTTTTTTTTTGTTTTATTTAATTATCACCTTTTTAAAAAGTTTAACTGTCAAATATATCAAATACACACTAAAAACATTTAAGCAGAGTGGCAATCACAGAGACAAATTAAACATAAAATGCAAGCTTTGACAGTAACTGTGCATAGTTGAATAATTTGATACCCGTTTTTTTCATATCTTGCCATGGAAGATATCTTTGAATGTTTAAAACTGTAACGAGAAAGTAACGTCAAAAGTACATACTTAAACATAACCTGTTAATTTATAACAATCAATAATTAATTACAGTAAAGTATAAAACTCACGATTGCGATTGATTGAGGCTGTTGGGGCTGACGATCCACAAGCACTCGCGTGTCGGTGGAGGCCCCTGCCTCGATTCCCAGACTGACAATTCTGCAAGCCGACTGCCGAGGCCTTGCGTCTTAATCGAACTCACCATACCACGGGACATGCACTGATAATAACAGGTACCACCTCGTCTGTAAAAACAGAAAATGAGTGTTGAATAAAATTAAGGTTACTTTTCATTTAAACTGAATGGTGTAAAGCAGTTTTTTGCATAACTAAATTAGGGAATCATAAGTTACCACGAGAAAAAAAAAAGAAAAAACCCACCAACTCCATTGTTGTAGTAAAAAGGTAATAATTTCTAATAAATTTTAAAGCAATTTATAATAAAAATAAAATAAAAAGGCTAATGAAACTAAATACTATAAAATTGGCAATATCCTTATTCATTTTTGAGCAGTTTACATATGTGTACAGAGTTGAGCTAAATAAATCAGTAATTAATTTATTTTGTATTTTTCCTTGTTTGAACATACGTATGAATACTTTTTGTTAAAAATAAATTTTCAATTAAATACAACTTTGTTTATTTTTATACTTCCATTTACTCACTACCGTTGAAAACTAATATCTGAAGAATGTACTGACAAATTTTGAATAGAACTGGTGCACATCAAAAGGAGTAAGAGCGATTCAAAACGAACACTTCAAATTTCAATTCAGAATGCAAAATAAATTGGGATCTTGTAAAAGCCAAGAATACAGGCAGAGAAATACATTTTAACTTCTTAAAAATCAATCTCAAAAAGGTTAAAGGAGAAAGTTCGACAAGAATTTAGAGTGGGCATGAATAACTGACCATTAATTTAACTAGAAAATATAAAAAAGCATATTTTGCAAAATAAAAAATTTATCTTCTAAAGATTGAAATGTGTTGGATTAGTTGGACTCAACTGTACTTCCTCAATTCAAGACAGTGAGATATTCTTTTATCACCTTATACACAATGTAAATAACTGATCCAAAGGTCAATGGTATTCCAAAATCAACCATTTCACACAATACATTTAATTTTTTACATGATCTGAATTCAGACCAGCATGAGCCAGGTCGGTTTCTATCTTTAATTAGTATTAATTACTCTAGTACGAGAGGACCGAGTAGTTGGAATAATTTTTTTAATTGATCATTATTGCTATTTTGGCAGATTAGTGCAATAAGTTTAGAATTTATTTATGTAATATAAATTATAGATAGCATTATTTTTTATTTCTTTTTTGTTTTATGTATTTTTATTGGCTGTGGCATTTGCTACTTTGTTAGAGTGAAGGATTTTAGGCTATATTCAGCTTTGTAGGGGCCCTAAAAAAACAAAACTCATAGGGTCCAAACAAACCATAGAGTTTTTTTATTCTAAAAACTTAGGTGAACTTAGCGTGCCAGAAACTCAGCTATGCCAAGGCATGACACTATTCTATCAAGCATGACATATATTAAAGCCAAGGACCAAAAATAGGTGGCTAAGCATCAAACAAGTATGACCTATTCTGAGACTGGTTAGAATATACTCTGATTCAGGTTCTTACAGGGTGGACCAATAAAGAACGTCAAGAGTTTATTGCTTATCTGAAATGATATTTGACAAATGCTATGATTACCTGGGATCACCGTAATAGCCTTTTTTACACTTGTCGCAAGTTGCACCTTCTGTATTGTCCTGACAGACGCACAGGCCCGTGTTGGCATCGCAGACACCGAGCTCCTTATTGCCGTGCTCGTTACAATTGCACCTCTTGCACCCTTCTGGCGATGTTGCATTTCCATAACTGCCAGGCCTAAATTTAAAAGGAAAAAAACATGAAATAAAGCATAAATATTATTTTTGACTTTTATTTTGAACACATTAGGATGTTAAAAGCACTGTTAGCAGGGATTGCTATGTTTAAACTTGACAAACATATTTTTCCAGACCAAGCCTGCAAACTTAACTGAATTCATCACTTTTTATGGCTTAGTCCAGGCATAAATGTTTATAAAATTTATGTGTAATAAAAAAAAGCCATAATGGATAAATATTCCAAGAATAAATTTTAAACCATGTTAAAATTTAGAAAGTATGAAATTGTTTAATAGCAATTTAATTTCAATAAATTCAATAAGAGTTATTCAATCACTAAAACTTTAACAAGTCATTAAATAAAATTAGTAGTTAGTAAAATTGCTGTCCACTTTGAGATTTGATTAATGCCTTTATTTTAATATAGATGCTGACTGACTTCAAGAAGACTTGGAAGATGATGGTTGGAACAGAAGATCTAATCGGAGATTATGTTTGGATTTGTAACAAATGACTTGAGCTTTACATTCTATTTTGATGAAAGTTATTGTATAACATTAATTAAGGTTTTTAGTTGAGATGCAAAAAAGCTAATGGCACGAGCGGGATTCGAACCCACGATCTTCGGCTAGATACGCCGCTGCTCTACCACTTGAGCTATCGTGACTCGATCCACTCGGACATCAAATCCCCATCTCAACCCCACCTTATGAGTTTTCCCTCCTTTTGCCATTTTTCAAATGTCGTGTAATCGGTTTGGATTCTCGACGACAAATTGAAATGGTGACGGAGAGCTTTAGTGAAGTGTACTTCATTTTAATTAATTAAATTCACTGTTTTTGTGGTCCGCTTGACCAATTAATACTTTACAATTAATTAAGGTTTTTAGTTGAGATGAAAAAAAGCTAATGGCACGAGAGGGATCCGACAATTGAAATGGTGACGGAGAGCTTTAGTGAAGTGTACTTCATTTTAATTAATTAAATTCACTATTTTCGTGGTCCGCTTGACCAATTAATACTTTACAATTAATTAAGGTTTTTAGTTGAGATAAAAAGTCAATGGCACTTTTTGGAAAAATGACAAAAAGGAGAGCAAATTCAAACGGTGTGGTTGAGATGGGAGGTTGGTGTCCGAGTGGATCGAGGTCACGATAGCTCAAGTGGTAGAGCAGTGGCATATCTAGCCGAAGATCGTGGGTTTGAATCCCGCTCGTTCTATTGACTTTTTTATCTCAACTAAAAACCTTAATTAATTGTAATATATTAATTGGTCAAGCAGACCACGAAATTAGTGAATTTTATTGTAGAGTTGGCCATTATTAATTTTTGCTTTTAATAAATCGAATGTATCAAATCGTGTGGGGTCTTAGATTATCAACCATTAAATTTGAGTAGTTGTACACCGTGACTATCACGATTGAAGCAATCCTAAATTCACACCCTCTCTATGCGATTTCATCCTATCTCAATGATTATTCTGTGTTGACACCTGGACATTTTTTAGTTGGCGACGCTCTAGTATCATTGGCCCAAAGTGATTAGGCAGATCCCGCTCCACATATGCTGACTCGATGGCAATTCCTACAAAACAAATTGCTCAAAATGATAGTACGTGAGGTTTCATCTAGAATGAAACTTCCCATCAAAGAATTTATCATGACCAAATTCAAAAAATTCCAAGCCACCCTAGGTCACAAACGGTGCCGCTCGCTTCAACCTGAGACAAAATGTGAAGGTCAGGCTCTAACCCCGTCTACTTCACGATATTCTTGAGTTATGAATGGAGAGAATTTATTCCAGTCAAAAAGTTAAAATTGTGAAGTTGATTTATAAATATGATCATTTTCCTTGTGATATGTTTACATATTTATTATTTTAAATATAACTTGAAGAACCTATATAATTGGTTGATGACTTGTTAATTTCTTTTAATGAAAAAATAAAATAAAATTATCCATCATCCAAAGAGAAATGTCAGTACGATTGCTGTGGTGAATGTGCTAATATAGTTTTAAAAAACTGTGATTTTAGGATATATAAAATATGAAATAGGATTGAGATAAAAATTCCAATGCTTACTTGCAAAACTGGCAGAATTCACCGGTAGTCCAATCCTGGCAAGAATCGCAAATGTTAACTCCTTGTGTGCACGTTGAATGATTGTTGCATCCACAGTTGACCGAACAGTCTTGCCCAGTCCAGCCCAGATTGCACTGACAGACATAATCCGGATGGTTTGAACAATACCCATGGACGCAATCATTGTAACACCTAAAGAAAAAGAAAAAAATAAGTAAATACAAATTCCTTTAAGGATTTGAATTTAAATAAAGCATTACGTTTTTGTACAAGAGACTTTTCCATCTCCTACATAGCCTCTCTTGCACTGACAGTTGTAAGAGCCATGCGTGTTCGTGCATTTGGCCTGTGCGTGGCAATCATGAAGACCTAGCCCACACTCGTCCACATCGGGACATTGGGCATAAGACCATGCGGCTTCATCCGGATACAGTGAAGTGTGGTGACGTGCATTTACTTCATTACTACAATTATCTATAGCAAAAGGTATATACATACTGACTGAATTTTTTAAACAACTATTACGAGGAAAATTTAGAAAATATTTTCGCTTACCAACATGTGGAGTGGAGAAATCGCCAGGAGCGCAGACGCCCTGAATAGGGTTGTCGACGTTGTAACACCACCCGCAGCCCAATGACTTAAGGCAGGTTGAGCAATTGACCTTGGTCGAGCATGGTTGGCAGGCTTGTGGAATCGTGGCGACAGATGAAGAAAGCCACTGTCCACTGTTCATACTGTTGCTATCAGACCATTCACGACATAATCCGAATTGGTATTGGGATGTGTACACAGCAAATGAAAAACATTCCTGTAATTATAAAAGCACAATTTAAAAAAATATAATTTTATTTATCAAACATTTTACCCAATAAATTCTTTATTTTTACGGTGTATTGTTCAAAAAATCTTTATTTACTAAAAGTAAAATAATGTAAACTGATCATCCATCTGCTTGTTCTCAATTGTTTTGTCTGGCAAAGTTTTCAATACCTGAGTAGCTTGACACCAAACACATTTTCCATTCCCATCGAGACACTGCGAACAATTTGCTCTACCATGACAAAGTAAAGGGCACTGATCTACCTTCGTAATCCCCGTACTCGACCTTTAAAGTATAATTATTTTATTTAAAAAATGAAATTAAATTTAAAAATTATAACAGCAAATTACAACCTTCCTTTCCTGTAGCATCGTGCATCATCGGCCCACCATTCACACAGACCGCTCATTATGCAGCTGTTGCAGGTGATGTAGTTCGAGCAGTTGTTGCACGCGACCGGGTCTAGATTGAGGTAGTGCCAGTGACCTCCAGAACTGCATTCCTAATTACACAGAAATATTAACAGCCGTATGGTTTTTATATTTAATAATAATACCTTTGTTTCATTGACCTTCCTGCTGAGACAGCTCCCTGTTAGCGGGCACCAGCCACATTTTGAATCAGTCATGCAAGCTAAGCAGTTTGTGTATGTAATACAGTCAACTGAATCTTCATGTGGCTCTAAATATTCAAATGTAAAAACCTAAAAAAAAGGTTTTATTTTAATCTTTGTAGATATAAAAAAAAAATTGCATTACCTTTGGATTTTCCTGGCTCTTGTTATGCTGTAGTTCCATATTTGACAAAGCATGGTTTGAATTGACGGCTTTCTGTGATTGAAAATCGACTGGGTACCTCCCAGGTCGAAGTATCACCGGATCACCATTGTTTGGCCAATGCACTAATCTGCATAGAGTATTTTCGCTGGACATGTTTCCAACTACCTCCTAATCAAATTTCTCAATATTAACAATAATTAACACAAAAAGGTGTTTATTTTTTTATTTCATATATTTTTTTAGTTTAAAAATGAAGATAACAAGAAAAGGGTAGATAAATCATTGCAATTAATAGCTTAACTTTTTGTAAGGCATATTCATGTAAGAAATAAAAAATTACTTTCAATCATAAAATTTTATTTGATTGTATATATGAAATGGACCAAATAATTTAATTTGATATTGTAGTTTTTAAGTAATTACAATTAATTAAGGTTTTTAGTTGAGATAAAAAAAGTCAATGGCACGAGCGGGATTCGAACCCACAATCTTCGGCTAGATAAGCCGCTGCTCTACCACTTGAGCTTTCGTGACCTCGATCCACTCAGACACTAACTTCCCATTTCAACCCCACCTTTTGAATTTTCCCTCCTTTTTGCCATTTTTCAATAGCTCAAGTGGTAGAGCAGCGGCGTATCTAGCCGAAGATCGTGGGCTCGAATCCCGCTCGTGCCATTGACTTTTTTTATCTCAACTAAAAACCTTAATTAATTGTAATATATTAATTGGTCAAGCGGACCACGAAATTAGTGAATTTAATGATTTAAAATGAAGTATACTTCACTAAAGCTCTCCGTGGCCATTTCATTTGTCGTCGAGAATCCAATCCGATTACATGACATTTGAAAAATGGCAAAAAGAAGGGAAAATTCAAAAGGTGGGGTTGAGATGGGAAGTTAGTGTCCGAGTGGATCGAGGTCACGATAGCTCAAGTGGTAGAGCAGCGGCGTATCTAGCCAAAGATCGTGGGTTCGAATCCCGCTCGTACCATTGACTTTTTTTATCTCAACTAAAAGCCTTAATTAATTGTAATATATTAATTGGTCAAGTGGACCACGAAATTAGTGAATTTTTAAGTAATGTTTATCTAGGTTTTTGTTATTTTATGTTTATTTCGATCAGAATGAACTTCAGAAAAATTTTCAACAAAATAGATTTGTTCCAATACACAATCATAAACTAGTTCCCAACTAATCGGTGATTTATTAACTGTGCATGCCCAAACATCGATTCACAAATTAAGCTCTGTTGGAATGCGTGTTTCTACAGTCAATTGAACTGAATGTTTGGATCCGTGGAGACCGACGCGAAGGAAATTCTTCTTGACATTGTTGGACATCCCTCAGTGGCAGAGCTAATGTTCTGTGTGAACCTTTTTTTGTGCCTTGAAATTCCCCAAAAAAATTCCTTCCTCAACTTGTGCTATTGTTATTTTCAAGAAATTTTTTGTAGTTCCTTTCCAAAACACCATTATTTTCACAATTTGTTACCATTACGATCATATACATAATTTATGCAATGTATGCAATGGCATATTCTTTTTGCTAATACTTGTGATCATGACGATCTTATATTTATCCGAATCATATCTCTGTTGTATAATGGTTTCATTTTATTCTGGATATTTTTGGATATTTTCAAGAATATTGCTTAAATTTCAACATTTGATTAATATTTCAAATTTTTATTATTTTACTTTCTTTGTTTTTGTTGCCTTTATTTTTCCTTTTATATTTGAAAAATCTTCTTTTATTTTTTAGGCTGTATTGTTGAAGGTGGTATTTAATGAAAAATTAAAAAAGAAAAGAAAATTTTTCAATTATTTAACTTTATTACAATATTCTTTTAATCTAAGGTCTTGGTTGAGATCAAAAAACTAGTGTCACAAGCAGGATTCGAACCGACGACCTTTAGCTACCGGGTGGATCAAAGACACGATAGCTCAAGTGGTTAGAGCAGCATTCAGCTGAAGGTGATGGGTTCGAATCCTGCTTGTGACACTAGCTTTTTCATCTCAACCAAGACCTTAGATTAAAAATATAATTATGAAAATAGATTATCGACCTGCTGGATACAAGAAGTTCTTTTCAGAGGATCTTCGGAAGAGGTCAAAACTTATTTTGTACTTTATTAATTAAAACAATTATGGCTGCTAAATGCATATGTTTATTACGTTATTTTATTAACGTACACAAACTTACAACAGAATTCTATTAAAATAATCGGCATCTTATTGAGAACATCTAATCTTTCTGAAGTAGCCAAGTTGTGGTAGACATAATAGTCATTTTTAGTCCTCTTTCTAACCATTATATTTATTAATTTTATATTACCTATTTTCTTATTTATGTAACTAAATGATTTTTTTTGTGGCTGAAATTTTTGTTCTATTTCCTTTCAAAATGAATAATGTTATGTAAAATACAGAAAAAAATATCTATTAAAAATAAATTATTCAATTATTAGTTGGGTGATATCTCTGACATTCATATCAAATTTTAAATTTTTAAAGCAAATTAATTGCATATTGAAGATTTTTATTGGAAAATACTGCCTCTAGATGTAAAACATTCTAATATGATGAGAGCGAAAACAGGATGAACATGTCTGGGCATGTCTGATAGCAAAATCCTCGGACTGTATTGAAGGTCAAAAAGAGATCACAAACTGGCCTGAAGCCTTTGTACTTTTTTTTTACCATGTTAGAATGGTTTGAGTTTGCATTTGTAGCATTTTGGAATGCCCAAACTCAACTGAACACCCGCCAGTTTGCTGATGGTTTGGATGTGTGATTTCCAAACTTAATATAAGCAATCTCCAATTTCTATGCTCAAGCACATAAAACATGTGATTGTAGAATTAGGTGATCACAATTGATTGAAAATATGTATTAATTCTGTGCCAAATAAAATATAAAATAAATAATTTTAAAAAACATCTTGTCTTACTGTTTTTGAGGATTCAAATCCAAGGGACAAGGAAGCTACCGAGTATGAAATACACATTCTAAGCTGTTCTTGAGACTGTTCCCAAGTTGGTGGAGAGCGCAAAAAACCCCTGAGCCTGGCTGTAACAACACCACCTAGGTTCTGTTCAGTCCTCGAGATAGTACCAGACCCCAGGCTGAATTCCACCAAAGTGGCGTTTAGAATGCTCACCTTAAAAATTATGACGAAATAAGAAGTGTACATAATCATTAAAATAATTATGCTTACATAATCAGGTTGGGAAATGTTAGCGGGATGTTTGTAAATGGTAAAAGTGAGCCCTGGACGCTTGTCGAGTGCCTTGCAATCTCGCGGATGCGTCACTTCAACGCCCTTGTCACCCCACCAGCCCGCTCCTTGAGAAGGTGTATCCTCTCTTATTCCACAAACTCCAAAATTATCTACAAAATAGTTAAAAATTTACCATGTTCCAATAAAATTATAATTACCAAATATATTTACCGTGGATATGATGGCATTTTGCATTATGTATGCACCATGTACACTGGAAGAGTGCTAGTTTTTGAACAACTGATGATATTGTTTTTCCTTCGGGCTGAGCCATCCCTCCTCCGCCTTGAAGTAAACAGGCATGACAATGTGAAAGAGCCGGGCAAATCCCAGGGCAGCGTGTCGTCTGCAGGTTCGTAGTGCAGTTGACACCTAGCGTGCGCCCGTAACAGACCTCGTCGGCCGAACACCAGCCGCACTCTGGGTCAGAGGTGCATTCCGAAAGTCCACGGTGCCTATAAAAGACACTTTCTAAAATAACGCAAATATCGTGTGGATGTCCAAAATTTAAAAGTGAAAATTACTTATGATCATAACTAATTATTGAAGTTACTATTGGTTGGTTATTTTATTTTATTTGGGATTTGTGCTTTATTGAACTTCCCAGAACGTTTTTTGGAATCTTAACATCACATTTTATTTGGAAAGTCTTTTCAACCGTTTTTTCAATTTTTTTCTTTTCTATCTAAAATTTTTAATAAAAAGTGATATGGAATGTAACAAAGCACAAATAAACTTATTGAATTGCTGAGAAAATGATTTTTTTGTTTAAATAAATTACTATTAATTTCATCTTCATTTTTTTAATAAGTATATTTCAACTAAGAGCTTATATGAACACTGGGGGTGATGCTGTTTTTTGGGGGGAAAAAGGAACAAAAAAACATTTGCAAGTATTTCAGGTTTACAGTGATGAGACTGTGTAAACACCTAAATCACATTTTATTTGGAAAGTCTTTTCAAGTTCTTTTATAATTTTTTTCTTCTATCTTAAATATTTAATAAAAAGCAATATGGAGTGTAACAAAGCACAAATAAAATTGAGAAAATGATGAGATGAGATGAGTGTAAAAACATTTGCAAGTATGTCAGGTTTATGGTGATGACCACTGTGTAAACACCTAAATCACATTTTATTTGTAAAGTCTTTTCTTTCAAAAAATTGCAAGTATGTCGGGTTCAAATGCAGGGCCACTGGGTTTGAACCCGGGATGACCGTTATCTTACAGTGATGAGCACTGTGTAAACACCTAAACCAGTGCCCACTGACGCCCCCATATTTTATCTTTACCTATATGATAATGATTATGTTCAAAATATATTGGCTTAAAACACCAAACTCTTTTTTTTTTTAATTTTTTTTTAAATCAAATATATAAAATAAAAAAATAAAGGATATTTAATAAAATCCTACAAATCTGTGAACTGTAGCTAAATTGGTGCAATGACTTTGGTATCAATGCTAAAATTCATACTGAACATCCTTTTAATGTACATAAGGCCGTTAAAAACAACTTAAAGAAATTTGGTTTCATTTAGATATTCCTGTACAATTAATTTATAATTACTGAATTACCTTGCACACATGGCTTCAGATTCATGGATCTCATTGCCTCTACTTGCTAGAGTCGGTGGAAAAATGAAAGCCAGGAGGTCAGCATTTACATTTCCATGGTATCCCCCGATAAGCAGTAATGTATTTCCATTTCTAACAGCCGCTGCGTGTGAAAAAACTCCCTGCTTTTTGGGATATTTTGACTCTACAAAGCAAAAAATTACATTGTATAAAAAACAAACTGATTTTTTTAAATTAATCAATCATACATAAATTGTTCTTACTTTGTGAGGGTGATCCAAGGATTTCATGGCTGACCCAAGTGTGGCAACCGAGGTGATAAAGAAAGAGCTGATTGTCATAGCAAATTTCTTCCTTGTTGTGCCTGTGAGTGTAACCACCAAATACTGCCATGTAATTACCGATTATAGAAGATGTATGGAACGCCCTTTCCGCTGGCACTGATGTATCTCGTGATGCTCCGCGTGGGTAGTTGATCTGCGCCCAAGTTTGAGTGTCCAGGTGGAATGAATACATTCTATCAGAAAGCTTCGAGAACCTAGCCACCGTCGCTGCAATGCCTCCGTAAACCAAAAGATAGCCTTCCTGAATTGAATTTGGCCCACCGATTGAATAATAAACTGTTGTGTGCCCAACTAGCCTCAGATCTAACTCTTTCCCAGAATGCGATCTTACCAATTCCCATTGCTCTTCATCCCCACCCTCTGCAAAAAATATGAACATATAAATACAAGATTGTGAAATTTTTTAAAATGTCTCTACCAGGGGCAAGTTTTATCCTCCAAAGCTGAGATGAAAAAAGCCCATCGGGAAGGCTCCCACCAAGAAGATATAGCCAGCCGGAAGGCGTCAACGTCAACGTATGCCTGGCCAAAGGCGGAGGCCGGTGATTTGAAGTAACAGCTCGTAAACTCCAATGTCTTGTAGTTATATTATAATACCAGAGTTCGTCTGACAAAACACCTTTGTCAAGCCGTCCACCATAAAGGGCAAATCCATCTGCATATCTAGAAAATTAAATTCTAATTTGAATATGCAGGTGACTTCAGTAGTTGAGTGGTCAGTATAATAGACTCGGCTGTAGACCCCACGGTAATAGGGAAAAAATACACATTGCATATGATATCACGTTTCTTGGCTAATATGCTAGTTTATATATATATATAAAATATAAAAAATTGAATATGCAACAAAATCAGAGAGTAGATAACTGAACATTTATTCTTAAATTTTTCGTGATTATTAAAAAACTGCCTTAATAACTAATCTAAACTTTAGTTAATAAAGCTTATTTACATCACCTTAAAATAAAATTTTATTACTACATTTTATAAAAACACCATTTTCATTTTTTTGCCAGTTTTCAGATAATTTTCAGGGTATAAAGTGTGGTGCTATTCTTGTGGTGTCATGTTTGATTCATGTGAAATTATTGTGATAAATGTTGTTTTTTAAAATACATCATTCCTGACCCCTCCTCACTAATTCAACAATTTATTAATTAACCGGTCGCTAAATAACTAACTAAAATTAATGTTAATAACATTCAATTAATTATGGTTTTTAGTTGAGATAAAAAAGTCAGTGCCACGAGCGGGATTCGAACCCACGACCTTCGGCTAGATACGCCGCTGCTCTACCACTTGAGCTATCGTGACTTTGATCCCATCGGGCACTAACTTCTCATCTCAAGTTTTGAATTTTCCCTCCTTTTTGCCATTTTTCAAATGTCGTGTAATCTATTTGATTCTCAGCAACAAGTGAAATGGCCACGGAGAGCTTTAGTGAAGTAAGTACCACAAAAAATAGTGAATTTAATGAATTAAAATGAAGTATACTTCACTTAATTAATTGAATGATATTAATTGGTCAAGTGGACCACGAAAAATAGTGAATTGAATGTTAATAACATGAATATTTTTATAAACTTTTAAAATTTTATAAGATTAATTTTAAAATTAATTGTTTATAATTGCTTACGCAGCAGCAGCATGTGCATATCTAGCAGAGGGTCTGGCCATGGTTTCACCTTCCTCTTCATCCTCATCCTCTTCAACATCCCTTCTCACTCTTGAATTATGCTTTCCAGATTCCTTCAAATAAATTATCGAGTTGATTTAAACATGTTAAAAGCTATAAGATAAGTGTTCGTGTGGATCTTACATGGTGTGAATGCTTTGCAAATGTTTTGCTATCGTTGAGTGTCAAGAGAGCCGCCTGGAGGAACGTTTGTGGCTTCACACCCCATTTTTCCTCACCAACCTTGGCAAGGACAGCTTTCAAAACCTTTGATTCCAAATGACTGGCAGGAAGCATGAGACTACCTGGGAATTGTTAATAATTAATTTTTTGTAATGTCTAATAATAATTTAACAATCTATTCAACTTACTGAAAATATTTCCCTGGTCGTCTTCCCACTGACTAGTATTGAATCTAAATACTAAAAGATCACCAAGAACTGCGTTGAGATCATAGCCTCCAAAAACGTACAAAGAATCAGTCGATTTCACATATGCAGCACTATGTGCTGCCCTAGGACTAAGTCCTCCTGAATACAGTTTGTGCCATCTGAAAGAAACAATTGTTATTAATTTATTTACCGTATAATATTATTTAATAATTATTTAAATTTTACCTGTTTCCAATGGTATCATTAATATTGAGAGAGCAAGTATATCCTGATCGGCCATCATGGCATTTGCACATTCCTTCGTGACACTTCCCTACATCTTCCGTGCAGCCGTTGCACACAGGTTCGGTGCAGTCAACACCACCAAAATCACCTTCGCATATGCACCTGTGGGCGACACAGACGCCATGTCCCGAACAATTCTTCGGGCATTCCGTTATCGAATACTCGGCTGTGAACCCATCAAGTACATAATTTGTGTCGCTGTACAGCAGTATAAGCATCTGTAAACATTGGAAGAATGTTAACACACCAACATATCAGCTAGTGGCACGTTTGTACTCACAAAGCCAGAAGTCGAGATGACTTCCTGCGGTTCGGTTTTCCCGCTGAAACTACCGAGCATTGGGGACTCAAATGAGTCCCCATCGTACACAAAGACATAATCATAAGCGCATTCCGTTGCCAGAGAATGAAAGCGTAGAGTTATAAACTGCTCTGTGCTATTTGCTAAAAAAAATTACAACAAACTTTTTTATTAAATAAATTAAGAAACCTTGTTTTTATTATTTATTTTATTCAGTGAATTAAAATTTTATGTGACTTCAGTACCCAAGACACCAACTAATCATCTCAATTAAAACTTTCTATTTAATCCCTCTCTTTTTTGCCTTATATTCAAATTATGTGTAATCGTTTTGGATTCTCGACGAACTTGAGAAGGCGACAGGGAGCTGTTAGTGAAGTTGACACTAATCTTTTCATCTCAACCACACTTAAAATAAAATTATAAATCACTGAATAATGAATTGCTCAGAAATAGGACCAATGAAAACATATTATTTATTTTATTTTTAATGATGGTTTACAACAGCAGAGGTCATGTCAACCCTTGGGGTGTCAGTGTTTTTTCAAGTTGGAGAAAATGTCATACAACAATAATAATAACAACCGTAATACTGAGGTTGAGCATAGCAGCAAGTCCAACTTTTCAGGAGGGTCACCCTATCCACTCCCAACCTGGAGTGACCGTAAAACTTTAATAATGCTATACTATTAAAAAAAAATGGACATATTTAACATAAAGAACACAAATAAAATATTGTAAGTATTCTAATTGATATTGATCGACCTCCGTAGTTTAAATTGATGTATTGTGACATGGAATGAGAAATTTAATGAAAACAACATAAATGTATAAACAAATCACAACTGCCATGATCAATTGTTTTAAAAATGTCTAAATCAACTAAAGGAAAGGTAAAAAGTGTCACAACGTAAACGAAGTGTATTACTCGTTTCCATGAGAAATCTGTAATTTTAATTCCATTCTGAAGATTCAGAATAAATTTTAAATAATTTGTATTATAATTGGATTTTGAAAATAATATTTTTCATCTGGTATTACACTGTGAAACGTGGAAATTTAGCAAATTTATTAATTGTGGACAGTCTTTCATATTATTTAAGAGTTTGTAAGAAAATATCAGGTCATTATTTTGTCGTCTTATGTTTAGTGGTTGCAGTTTTGTAGATTCCACAATAAGTTGGTATGGTGAATCCAAGTATGTTCTAGTAATTTTAAACCAGACATGGTTCGCTGGACATTTTCTATTTAATTACTTAGTATAATCTGATTTGGTGATCAACTGATCAGTTTCTAAAACGGGACAGATCGGAGCCTTAAACAGTGTAATCATTATTTCTGCATCCTTAACATTTTTGTAGCTCAATGTGTATAACCTAACATTTGATTTGCCTTATAAATTATTGAGGTGCAATGCAAATAACGGTAGTCTGCCTGTCCAATTGGATGTCTTGGATGGTATAATTGTAGAAGACAACACTACGTCCAAGACTATAACTAACAACCTTACACTTATTTACATTGTATTCCATGCCATTGCATGAACACCACTCAATAAAATTATTTACAGATTTTTGCAGAAGCTCAGCATCATGAATAGAAGTTACAGCGGTATACTTTCAGGTCATCAGCAAAGAAAGAGAAATTAACTGAGTAAAAAACAAAGAGAAAAGGAATGGGCCAAGTAAAGACCCCTGAGGTAACCAGATGAGACTACTATTTTTTTTAGAAATTACTAAATCACATTTGTCTGTCACTTCTCAGTACAACATCCTACAAAGACGGATTTTACAAGTCTCTATCAAAACCTAATTGTTTTAATAATAATTTTAATAACAATATAATGGTTAGTAAAAAGATTGTTCAAAATACATTTTGAATATGTCTAGTCTACCCTGAACAGAACTATTTCTATAATTAGGGATGGTTTATTTATTACAAGTTAAACTCAGAAATCCTTCATTTTATAATAATTATAATTTGTTGGTTATTGTCAGACTTTTTTTTAAAATAAAGTAAAAACATTATTTATTAATTACAATTAATTAAGGTTTTTAGTTGAGATGAAAAAGTCAATGGCACGAGCAGGATTCGAACCCACGATCTTCGGCTAGATACGCCGCTGCTCTACCACTTGAGCTATCATGACCTCGATCCACTCAGACACTAACTTCCCATTTCAACCCCACCTTTTGAATTTTCCCTCCTTTTTGCCATTTTTCGAGATATTAATATAGGATATTAATTACTGTGGCAAATATTTTTCAAAGATGCACCTGTTAAAGTGCGAAAAGTCTACTATTTTGCGACAAGTATAATTTGGATCTACCAGATAGCCTTTTTAAAAGTACTTTGGACTTGAATCTCCAACAAAATCTTCATTGTCCACCAACAACAGCTATTTCTTTACAAAAAGATTATGATTCTTACTGATGCGATCTTATCACATTTGATCGCAGCCTTTTTATATTGGTACGTTAAAGGAGGATAACAATTTAAAAATTGAAGAACATCACAAGATGAGTTCCAGATCAAATTATTTATTAACATTCATATTTGTTCCAATACACTAGAGGCGGAACATGGTTTTTGGGGTTTTAAAAAATTTTGTTTACTGTTTTATCAATTATTCTATAGCAATTTTCTCAATCACTTTTAAATTCATTCAGTGGGCATTTTAATATTATATATTAGTGCATTGGGGGTGAGGAATAGCAAAAAGGATTTGAACTTCTCAGTACAACATCCTACAAAGACGGATTTTACAAGTCTCTATCAAAACCTAATTGTTTTAATAATAATTTTAATAACAATATAATGGTTAGTAAAAAGATTGTTCAAAATACATTTTGAATATGTCTAGTCTACCCTGAACAGAACTATTTCTATAATTAGGGATGGTTTATTTATTACAAGTTAAACTCAGAAATCCTTCATTTTATAATAATTATAATTTGTTGGTTATTGTCAGACTTTTTTTTAAAATAAAGTAAAAACATTATTTATTAATTACAATTAATTAAGGTTTTTAGTTGAGATGAAAAAGTCAATGGCACGAGCAGGATTCGAACCCACGATCTTCGGCTAGATACGCCGCTGCTCTACCACTTGAGCTATCATGACCTCGATCCACTCGNATACAAATGAGTAATCCTGTAAACGTAAACAGAATATTTTATATAGATTTTTTTTAATGAAAACTTAAAATCCTGCATTATTTTCCGGACAACCCGATAGCCGAAGATCGTGGGTTCGAATCCCGCTCGTGCCATTGACTTTTTTATCTCAAATAAAAACCTTAATTAATTGTATTATATAAAATATTTTACATGCAATAAAGAGTCAAAATATGACAATAATAAATTAATTGAAATTCAAAAAGGTGCAGTTGAGATGGGAAGTTAGTGCCGGAGTGGGTCGAAGTCACGATAGCTCAAGTGGTAGAGCAGCGGCGTATATAGCCGAATATCGTGAGTTCAAATCCCGCTCGTGGCACTGACTTTTTTATCTCAACTAAAAACCTTAATTAATGGTAATATATTAATTGGTCAAGCGGACCACGAAATTAGTGAATTAAATTATTTATTAATGTTTACTTTGGAAGTTTTGGGACTTTACATCAATCTATATTGTGGCTTTATTAGCCTTAGGAGTGGTTTTTTTGGTTAGAGGATTTTATTTTATTGATTTTATAATTTTTCAGAAAAATATTTGGTTTGTGTTTTTTTCTTTTCCTGTTTTTTGTTCTTGATATATTTCTTGATTAGCAGAAACCAATCGTTATAATAACACATAAGCATAACATTAATATTTATATTTGACATCAAATTATTAAAAGCTTACCATGTGTAGTATTAGATTAATAATTTACTATATCCGTATTGCAATCAAATAATAAATAATTATTATTATGTATATGTATATATTATATTTCTTATTGTTATGTATTTTGTCTTTTTATTTCCACAATTGTTTTCCCAGCAATTACAATTTATGGTACCCCAGCTAGAAATTAAGGGAGATTTTATTTCAAACCTATTATATAAAATGGGTCAGTAATCAATTCAATGGTGACATAATATCAGAGTCGTTCCAATAAAAAGAATCTAAAAAGGCCCATATAACAATTAGTCTGAATTGATTTTGATGAGATAATTAAGCTATAAAATAAAAAATATATTGACATATATATTGTAAGATTTGTTGTATGTAAACAAGAAAAAAAGAACATTGACCAGTAGTGGTAAGAAGAGTGAAAAAAATCGACCATTTCCTAGGAAGTAGTTGACCTAAAAAGAGCTGTTAAAAAATTCATGCTATCAAACTCGATAAGCAATAAGGGAAAAGAATAAATGATTCATATTTTATTATATCATTGAATGACAACATGGTCTAAAATCTATCAGCAAATACAAACAAATTATAAATAAAATTTGAAAAGGACTTTTAACACGTTCAAACTTCAATCGATAATAAATTTGTCTAAACTTACATTCAATCGGTATTAACAAAAAGATGATGAAATTTATCCATTTTTTTGTTTTTTTGTTACAATGCATACAGATTCAAGTTTTACCTTTGATAAGCCATTGGCAATGGGATCCCTGGGTGTAGTTGTGGTTTGGAGGTCCATCGGAGATGATGCCCCACGGCTGTGTGAGTACACGCCTTGTCTTGTCACAAGGTAGAAGGCTTCCAACTGACCAAACAACGGCTAAAGACAGTATGACAAACGACCACGCATTCATCTCATCATCGCAGCTCCCCTTGCATCTGCTGAAATAAAACAAAGTGCCTATTAGTTTACAAAAATCTTTTTTTTTTATTTTAAAAAAGGCAAAGATCGTGACAAAAAATTCTTTTTGTTGGATTAAATTAAATCATTGTAATAAAAGTATATTGCAGAGTATCCAAGAACAAATAATTAATAACATAAAGCAAACACTTGCACTTCAAAACAAAAATCTAAATTATAAATCTACTGTGATAGATGAAGCACTCATTCAGTCTTGAGAGGGGAAGCACAAAAATGAAACATATCAAGTTATTCTTCTTCATGGGAACAACAAAATTTATCAAAACCCTAAAGGCAAATGAACAATTTGAAAATGTAAAACTAAATGTGTTTTTCTTAGTGACCGGTTATTTAATAATTTGTAAAATTAAATTTTGAATGTTTGGCAAGCTTGAAATTTCCAAAACTGTCAGCAAGTTCAAGTTAAAGTACATATGTATTCAGTCTCTGCTCGAGTTTTATATATTTAACATCTAATAAAATAATCAGACTTGCTTAATTTAAGCAGTTGAGCTGACCATGAGCATTCCACCATTCGTTCCATTATTTTTCATTGACATAATCAAAAATGAAAAATCACTGTTGGCAATCCAAAATAATCCAGTCAATTACAAACCTTGAATAATATACCATCAGGCTGAGTTCACAATTAATTGTATTTAAATTTAACATGTCAATGTTTCATAATCTTCCGATATATTTATCAGATAATTGAATAATGTTACTCAATCGACTCTAATTATAAAAAATTAGCCACTGAGGATGTTATACAATTATGAATATATTATTTGATTTAAATCATCAACATTCTTATGAATTGTGGAGATTTCCTCTTGGGGTCTGAAAAGTGTCTGTAGTTTAGCCAATTCCAATCATTTCGACCTATCCTCAATCTTTTAGTCGTGGGTTATTGACACTTTGTCCATCCCTGCTTACACTCCTAACCCAAAACCGAGGATGTATAGACCAAAATGATCACTACAGATTCTTAAAATTGTCATATACAAATTTAGAAACGCAAGAATTTCAGGTCGATCCGGTTTTTGTGAAAAATATTATTGTTTTGAAACTATTAAATGGCTCTATTAAAAGAACATTTCACCATAGTGATTAGTCAGAAAATATAACTTATCCGAATTATTTTATACACTAGCTGGGTGATTCATGTTAAACAAATTTGATTGGCTATAGCGATAACCTGTCAAATATCTTAAAATTATCTTTGCAATAATATTAAAAGGTAAACAAATTGTTGTACAAAATAAATAAGTAATTTCTTAGTAAATTAAATATAACATAAATCTTCCTTTGTTGAAAATGATGATTCTACTCACAAAACTCACTCCATTTTTTACTAATTATAAATTAAATCTATATAGTTAGTTGTTGTTTTTTTGTTTAACTAGTCACACTATTTATTTTTATGTCATATATTTTGAATTTGAATTTGTAAAGGCGAAAATACGCACATATACACAGAGACATGCCGAGCGAGTATATTAGCATACTTGTAGTCCACCGGCAATTCAAGCTTTTGCTATTTACAGTAAATTGCTAGCAGACTCGAGAATAACTCACCCAGTGTGTTGGCAGTCTGGGGGCAGACGTCAGTCTTATCCGTCCAGCAACCGAGGTTAGGTATACAGTAGGTACACACAACTAATATTACTATATATAATATTACTATATACAATAAAACAACCCCACCCATTTCATCTGAGAATCAAAACAGGGGACCCAAATACTTGCTGTTATGCTCAAGCTCAATTCTTAAATCGGTTAAGACCTGCGCTGGAACCAAGGAATTGCACCCTTCAATTAAGTGAGCACATCCAGCCACCTTTTTCTATATGTTGGACACATATGTTGGCTTCGGCTCATTTATGCCATATGTATTTTTTAAAATTACTAGTGCATTTTGGGCCACAACCCTGGTCCCTCTTCAGAGGAGCGTAATACTTAGCTAAATGTAACTCCTGGAACTGGAAATGCTGAGATCCATTTAGCTAAATAGCCTGGCTCTGAAGAGAGACCAGGGACATGGCCTGAAATGCATTAGCAATTTAAAAAAATATAAATGGCATAAAAATAAATGGTGTTAAAAAAACTTTCTATATTTAAAATAATTTTTCCACCAAATTAATCAAACCAATTTTAAAAAAATATATATGGCATAAAAATAAATGGTGTTAAAAAAACTTTCTATATTTAAAATAATTTTTCCACCAAATTAATCAACCCAATTTAAAAAAATATATATGGCATAAAAATAAATGGTGTTGAAAAACTTTCTATATTTAAAATAATTTTTCCACCAAATTAATCAAACCAAATTAAAAAAATAAAATTTGAATTTAACTATTTATATTAACATAAATCTCATAAAATGTTAATTCAAGATTTCATATAGCCCAATTTATGTTCAAATAGAAAAGAGCACTACCTATATTGTATGTGATCAAACGACGGTAACAATTATATATATTTTAAAAAAGGATGTTTTTTGTATTAAAAAAAAAAAGAAAAATTAATCTAGAAGAAACATTGAATAGGAAATTATAGCATCAGTCAGAAATTCAGAGAAGTCATGAAGGAAATAGATGTTGGCCACCAGGCTGGATGGTGTTCTAGTTAGGCAAAGATATAAGTGAATTGATATGACAAAAAAAACCAGCATTTAATAAATTGATAGAGCTGAAAGGTTCAAGAGATAGATTTTAATTATTCTGAATTGAAATTAAGATTTCTCACGATGGGCTGAAGTTGGAGTGGTTAGACCCTGGCCTTACCCGTCTTGCAGACAGAAATCGAGCAATTGTGCTATCAAATGTCATTTCAGTCACTCAAGGTATCACTCAAAGCTTATTAATTTTCTCTTCTGTAAAGCCCATTTTCCATTTTGGAGATGTTTGAAAACACGAATGACCTATTGCTGGGCAATTTAATTTCAGGTTGATGTAAGCCCTGCCTACCCAGCAGTGATAAGTAAGTGAATTCATAATTTACATAAGATGTCTGTTGAATACCTCTCCTCAGCAAACCCCCATATTTTATATATTTAAGATTATTTATATTTGTTATTATTTATGTACTTATTATTTAAGTAAGATTCTAAATAAATCAACGAAAATTTAATTTTGTTGTATATATGAGAGATGTTTGACACACGGGATCAAATTTTTATAGGAAATTTATATTAAATAAACATATTAATAATAATAAAATAGCAAAAGTACAAATTAATATAGAACACTTGATTTTTCAAGATTTCTTTATTTTTCATATATTAATTGTTTTAAGCTAGATTCATTTTTATTTTGTGAAGTTCTCAGTGCCCTATATTCGTAATAAAAACTTTTTTTTGCTGTTTGGAGTTATGGATTTAAGTGTTTAAAAACTTTTTTTTCTGTTTGGAATTATGGATGTTGTCCTTTTTAAAGGACAACACAAAAACCTGTCTCAAAATAGGCCATACATGTTTGCCTTGCCATATAAAAGGCTTTATACAAGATGTCAAGAAATGTTGAATGCCTACTAGTTCTCTACACAAAAAGCTGAACTGGGACCCAGAAACAAGTTTTCAAGAACCATAAGAGTGACATAGCTAATTGCTCTTTACAAGGCGCCAAGGTGTTCAGTGTATATACATTTTTGGACAAATTTATTGCACTACTCAATTTGTTTTTGTTTAAAATTAAAACCATTATCTTTCTACATTAGTTACAAGTAATTAGGAGTTACCGCAGTCAAAATAAACAGTACATAATGCTTTGTTTACTTTTGAACTGATTAATCACATTTGCACAAAAAGTAGCATTAAACCGTTTCATTCATTCATTCAATCAATTCCATTGATTTCATTTGACATTATTCTTATTATTAAACCTTTGTCAATGGCTCCAGTCAGGCATTTGAGTGAGATGACAGTGTCAGGGTCATAAAATTATTAGAGGATGAATTCAGCCAGCGTGAAGTCGCTGATATATTGAGTGTAAATCACTCTACAATAGGAAGGGCTATTCAGTGCTTCAGAGAAACAGGACTTCACAGGCCAGGATATGGTCGGCTTAGATATACAGACGATAGATTCAACCGTCATCAGGCTCTATGAAACCGCAGCATTATAAGAAATCTGATAAGACAAATCCAAAATGTTTCGATTTCCTCCAGGACTGTAAGAAGAACGCTCAATGAAAATAACCTCTGGGCCTAGCACCCGGCTCGTGAACCTCTTCAGAAAATGGCCAGGTTTCAATTCACATGGGAACATGTTTAGTTAGAAGATTGGGAACGAGTTCTCTTTACAGATGAGGTGGGAGTTGGCTTCAAATCTTTGGGCGTAATTTCATATGAAGACGCTCAGGAGAAAGATTTGCATGTTGGGTCATTGATGTTCTAAGGTGGCATTTCCTTGGATGTTCGCACAAAATTGGTTGCTGTGTGAGGAAGATCTCTAACTTCACAGAGGTTTTACAAGATATAATAAAAGAACACCTTTTGCCCCTCACATCGGTCAGACCACATACAAACCCAATTTAACACATTTGGAACCAACTTAAGGGATGAGTACGACGGTGAAACCCACGTCCCAACACCCTAGAAGAGTTATAAATAGTTGTTCTTGATGAATGGGAAAGAATTCCTCATGGTTTTACCCGAAATTTTTTCCAAGGAATGCAAAGGCATTTAACAGATGTGATTCATGCCAGAAATACTCGATAATGAAGGGGACAAAAGCTTTTTTTACATTTTTATTTGTTTTTGAATTTTTTTTATTATTGACTCAATAATTGTTTATTTTTTTAAATGTCTTATTTTTACAACCAAACCTAGTTTTGGTATGCAAAATATGAATAAACCTAAATACATTAAAATTTAAGGGTAGTGCATTTATTTTGTCCATCAGTGGAACATCAAGCAACTTTTATCTGTGGTACACAATGCGCTCAGGCCAGGCTTACATAATATTTGTTTTTAATTTTTCTCTTCTAAATGGTTTTGTCTGCCAACATGTTGGTATTTCACCATCTGCAGTGTTATTTGTCCAATTGTGTCCACTGAAAACAGTAATTTGTTGAAATTTACCTTAAAGATAAATACAGCAAGGGTTCAGAGATGATCAAGCCACAATAAAGGTCCATTGTTTCATAGACATTTAAATTCGTTAAAAGCAAACAAGAAAATTGTTCTATCATGCTGAACTGGATCACTTATTGGGTCTGCCTTCACTTGTAGGTTTGTTGCACTACTCAAATGCACCATGCCTATGTCTTCCTTTTGCTTTTTCATACCTTGATGATGTTTCAATAGCATGACAGGCGAAATGATCAGTAGGATATATGTGAACTACTTTTGGCCCTAGTTAAAATCACCCTTAAGATACACGCACTCAAATCAGAGTTCGTGGTGAAAGAAATTTGTCTATACCGTTCACTAGGAGGAATCTGTCCAGGACTGAGTTAAAGCTATTACAGATTTTTCCTTAAGATGGTCGCCAACATATTGACTCATCCTCATCAAACCAAGGGGTTGGGGTCAAGGCAGCCATATGGAATCACAGTCAACCCTTTTGTTGCCAGAAGTCAGATTCTCAACCAAGGCCTCTTGTACACATTAAGCAAATCATGGCCAATTGTCTTCGTTGGCCAAGATTTGCTTAGTGTGTATACACCTTTACTCAAGACAATATTATAATTTTTGAGCTTAGTGAATTTCTATCAACGATTGCTCAATTCCGTCGAGACCCAAAACATATTGTTTGTATTAATTCCTAACAAGTACGGTCCAATGTTGAAACATTTGAGTAGTTGAACAAACCCGCAAGTGAAAACGAATCCAATAAGTCAGTTCAGCATGAGTTCGCCAACTCGCAGACCAACACCAGAATCAACTCTAAATTGTTTTGTGCTAAGATTAAACTCCCATTTGGATATTGGATTTATACTGGCTCAAATCTGCATATGTACGTGCATACATACAAACATGTGCCGAGTAGAGCCTATTCATTTCTCATTATCCATCGGCAGTTCCAGCTTTTGCTACTTACAGTAAACTGCCAGCAGACTGGAGAGTCTTATCTGTCCAGCCACTGAGGTTGGGCTCTGGGGGAGGTACTATAAACTGCTAGGTCAATTCAGCACCTAATGCATACAAACCCATTCGTACTAATGTTCATTCTTAAATACATATACATACCATTCATTCAATCAGGGTTAATTGATATTCGACCATTGCTCCTCTCACATCACGCATCTACGCTAATAAATACATTCACTCTCAATGCAAACTAGTTGTACACTACTTGGAACTAAATTCGAAAGTGTGTTAGGAAGTTGATTAATGTTTTTTTTTTACCGTAAGAGGGTTCAAAAGCATTTCAATTTTAACGATAAACGAAAGGGCAGATTAAAAACTAGTTCAGTTCTTACATTACTTTGAAATATTAAAAATGAGGTTATCACAATAAAAATAATAAATTTAATATTTCAGGCGCTTTTTTTTATTATGGGAACGTGTAAATAAACTGAACCAATTTGATAAGGTTCAAATGAAGTAGTTGACAGTCTGAACCATAACATTGTACAACATAAGCATAATTTTTTCAACAGCTTTTCAAACTTGTGAGCGGCTTTGTCTGTTGAAAATTACGAATTTTTAAATAATAACCCGTGTAAATGACAGGAGTTCGTGATAAATTATCTATGTCGACGATAAGTTTCGCAGTTGTTTGAGCGAGACGAGTTTTTTTCCACATTTTTGTCTATATTTTTCTCTCTTCAAAATGCTAGTGAATCGTTTAATTTGTCCCCCGAAAGGAAAAAGTGACTGTGTGGGAAGATTCCGTACGAGGCTAAGTGGAAAATCAATTAAATACGTCCTTAAAAGGAGGCGAAAAGGGGAAAAAAATTTATAGAAGTAAAAACAAAACAAGGTCATTTCTAGAAAAGTGATTTCTTCTTCTACAGGTCGTGGATCAACTCGTATTTCACATAATTTTCAATGACACCGCCTTTTTCGAAGATTTCCTTCCGAATTTGAAAAATTGACCGTGTCGTCCAATACCTGCTGATCGAAAATCCCGAATCCTTCCAGGGTGAGACGGAAGTGTCCTCGAGGAAAAGGCGAAAAGCGAGCGACTCCTCCACGGGGGATGAGAGCCGCGGATGAGGAAATCCGTCGAAAACCCGCCTGCTGAGGAGGACGGGCCGAAAAACCCGCACTTGCCGAACGGAACCGTTCAAATTTGGCGAATAACAACAAATTCGTGTATTGTTGTTTTCGAGGAGACGAAACTGTTTTCACGGACGTTTATCACTCACTGGTCCATAGAAGAGAGGGGGAACGATAACGATTGATCGTTCCTGGGAATGATATCGATGTTGATGTACGACTCAATCATTTATGGCGGTCATTATCGCCCTCTTTTGGATTTTATTCTGATCACTGTAAAGGGTACGAATCATCTTGGGAATTGACCTTCGTTATTTCCAAACCTCGAAAAATGCACCACCCTTTACCACCTGCGACCAATCTTGTAGTACCCCTATAAATAATATCAATACCTTGGAAAATGCACTTTTTCCTATAAGCACTTTCCTCACCTTTTCACACACTTCTTTTGGTATGTTCTTACCAAACTAAAACTTCTCATTCACAAGGATACATGGTAATGTCTCTGGTTCATCCTGTCAGATCTTTTGGGCGGTAGTTAAGAGGGCAATGACTGGTATTGAGTCATATAATTTTCTTCAAATCCTGCCTGCTGAGAGAAAGTAGTTCCTTCGCCTTCCTTTTGGGGAGATTTACAAATCACTTAGCTGCATCTGCCCAAAGTTTGAGTTTCTTTCTCAAGCCAATTTCAATTTAAGCACAACTTTGGTGCACTTAGTAGTGTTTCGTGTCTCTTGGGTCTGCCCCTTCTTTTGACTACTTGGTCACCCTGTTCATTCCCTTCCACCACTTCATGTCTAGAAAACCACTTTAAAATAATTTGGAGTTGTCCTAGGCCATTATGCAATTTAAACACTCCCATACAAGTTTGGAGGTAAAAGCATATTATACTTTTAATGCCTTTAGCTGCTTGACTGAGAGTATGTAAATATGCACCTTTCATACTTTTCTTTATGAACACCTGTACACAGTTGTATCGCATGGACTTGAGTTGGAAAATTGTTGGGGTTAGTCCAAAGGGCTTTGCAAGGATATAGCTTAGCTCTTTTACCCCTACACTCCTGTTACAACTTTGATCCATCTGTGAACCATATTAACGCCACTTCCTGAAACCTGGGGCTGCCTTTCTTCTTACTGTTCCCTATTATCTATGACCACTTGTAAAGAACTCAAGGTTGGAGTTTTCTCATTTTCAATTGTATGTACCATTATAGCTATTTCATTTATTTTAATTCTATCCAAAATTTGTGGTGGCACCTCTGGCAGATAGGAGTCTGATGGCATTCTCAGATCTATATACATATATAAGGGTGGAAGGTCAAGTGCGGTTCCATTGCTGTAGTGGGGCAGATTTTGTAGTTTGTTCTGTATTTTTTGGCCTCCATTATATAGTTCTACATGTACATGTACAGACCAGGATCTGACCATTGTGGTATATAACCAATACGCCTTCCTGGGCTTTATTCTTTAAATTTTGCTGCATAATCTCTGGCCAATGTATAGTAAAGACTTGGATTTTCTACACATTGTTGGACTTGCAAAACCACCTGCCAGAAGTAAACAAGGATTTTCAGACCGAGTGGTTGAAATATTCAAACTGCAGGTAATTAACTCAGAAAAGCTCAAGATGAATTCCACACATTTTAACTAAATTTATCTATTCCCCTGACCAGAAACAATTTGAAATTCTAACAGACCAAACCAATCACTGAACATGGTTAAAGACAGAACAGCAACTTATAAGGCTAAAACAGTGAGGATAGGTAGACCAAAATGAGAGGAAAAACAATCAAATCCCACATACCTCCAGAATAAATCTCACAACGTATTTACTTCAAATACAAAATAACAAACATACATAAAATACATTTAAAGACCTCAAGGCAGTATCTCGCAATTAATATTACTGCTAGGATAAGGCCTAGTACACTAAACTAACAAGAAAATTACATATTTTTCAATTAAAAATATTTTTGTGTTATGTAACACAGTTACAAACTCGAAATGGAAAACCTAAATCCAAGCCAGTTACACTTGGCCGACAACCAACAGTGTTTTAAGTGGAATCGTGAGCTCTACAACTGAACATGTTATACATACATTATATTTATATATATACACAACACATCAAAAGTTAAACTATGCAAACATTTGACAAGATGAAGGATTCATTAGAAAACAGCTCAAAATTGTTGTAATACTTTATTTTTCACTTGTAGTTACAACATAATACCAAAGGATTAAAAAATATATTACATAACATAATACTTTTCTGTTTCCAAATTAATTCATAAAATTTGATTTAAATAAACAAAAATCTAGGGAAATGTAGAACTATTAAGTACTTGATTAAGTGAGAACTATTAAAGCAAATTTTATGTTTAATACTTTTATTTCATTAAAAACCCTTACCTCACCACCAAAACTAAAGTAAAAATAACGGCATGATTAAAGCAAAATATGTATTTTTGTTAACAATTTAAACAAAAATATATATGCAAAAAAAGAAAAACTTATTTTACTACCACTACCCAATAGAAACATTTGAATAGTCTACGTTAATGTCAGGTACGCAATGAAGACTATAATAATTATGCTTTTGATTTTTTTTTCCATGAACCAAGAAAAAAACGTTATCAACAATTTTGTGAAAATATAAGGTACTTGCTTTTCTCGTGAAAATACTGAAAATGTAATTTTATTCAACAACTGAAATACTGCGTTAAAAGAAATGATCAAAATATAAAGTTTTTCTTCTTCTTCTTAATTGACTTTCAACTCAAAGACACTTCTTTCTCAAAAGGAGAGATCCGGGCTTTGCGCACACTTAACAAAATTACACGGGAATGGAATATATCATACAAAAAATAAACAAAATTTAAAAAAATAAGTTAGTGGTTAAAGATTTGAAAAAGAGACCAAAATCAATCACAGCCCACAATTCATTTTGAAATTTATTTTAAAATAAAAGCCCATTTCTCATCCGGCTGAGATTGTAATAAAAATCTATCATACACATTGAATACTATTAAGTAATGTTATTAAATTTGAATACCTGTCAAGGTATTTAATGAGCGATCTACAGGTTGGATAATAATAATAAAAAGGATGATGGTTCACTTGTTTTTGATCCGTATAAAACAATTAAATTGCAAGTATAAATATCTACTGACCTACTTGTAAAAACGTGTTCTATTTTAACACTCTTAAATCTAGTCCTGATATGAATTTGTCTGTCAGTCAATTATATTGGTAGTGATTGAGTTGCATGTGATATGACGTACCATTCTATATTTTATATGCATTTTAGTATGGCACTTATAATTGAGAAAAAAAAAGTATAACAAAAATAAGTATGTTTACAATCTAAAAAACACATGAAATCATGTAAAAAGTTACAAAAATATATTTTTATATTTCTTAGAAAAAACTTCAGGATTATTGACAACATAAAAAAGAAATCCTGAATATTTTCTAAAAATTTCGCCTGTAATTCAATAAATGTTTACTCCCAAAGAACTAGTGCCACTCTGTTAGTTCGGAATGATATATTAACTTAACTTTTAATAATGATTTTTTTTTAAAAACTTACAGCCTGTTTGGGACTAATCTTTTCGTACATAAATTGTTGGCCTTTGTCATAAACTAGGCCGTCTTTGCCTTTACCCATGCGTCGTTTGACGTCCTCGAATTGAGCAATGGCAAACTCGTAGAGTTCGGTCTCCATTTTCCATATCTTCGATTTCTGTATTTCATCTATCGTCTCCTGGCTCGGCTCTAACTTCTGATTCGTTCTCCGGAGATGAGCTTTTTTGCCTAAAATAATAATATAACACTAAGTTGCATATTTTAAAAACAATCTCCAAAAATTAGGTGAAAAGTGTTAATAATCAAGTTTTAGAAGGCTTGTGTGATCATCTTTAAATATTGATTTTTGTATACTTTAATAATGATATACAGTATAATTTTATCATAAATATAATTATTTTTAGATGTAGAACTAATCAATTAATATAACATTTTTGTGACTTTTTAAGAATCATTAAATAATTAATAAATAATGTGCTGAAGGGAAATTTTAATACTTACTCGATTTAAAATGTTGGACTGCGCCTCGGAAGAAGGTGGGCAAGGTGGCTTCCAGCACCGCTACGAAGTCTGAAAGTTGCTCAGTTACACCAACCAGCAGATAGCGAGTGAGTAAATTTTTCTTGGCCTCTTCCAAAGCCCAGTTATTTCCCACTTCCCTGCAAATAATCGATTATATATATATTATATCGTGGTTTGACAATTATTTAAATATGGTAAACATACCAGCATTCAGGCATGTGTCCGCAAAGGAAAGGGATCTGAAGCCACATATTCTCTGGGTTGCAGTCAGGCTGTTTCTTCTTGACGCACTCATCAAAAGTCTTTAAAAAGAAGAAAAAGCCTTCAATTAAGAAGGGAGTGGTGAAGAACATGATAAAAGATGGTAGCATCAGAGGCAGAGTCATCCAAGAGGCTTTTGCATGTCAAGGGCACGACCTATAGGTGGCGACCCAAGAACCTGAGCCAAAAACAAGGAATCGTCCAGATTGAGAATAGGTCATACGCGGTTGACACACAGGCACCGGCTCGTGGGCCAAAGCCTCCACAGAAGCCCCTTATTGGGAAAGGTTGCTCAATGTGTCCCCCCAGCTTGTCATGCCTTGGCTCCTTACAGAGAACGTGTACACATGCCGCAGAATTTATTGGTTGGTCGAATGGTTCTCAGACCAGAAGTGTGTTTCTGAGTCACCTGTCTGCTTTTTGGAGGATATGGTTTTTTTTCCATGTAGATATATTGTATTGTTTTGTGGTTATGTATTGTTTGAGTGCGTGTATTTAATAGAGTGAGTTGTGAGATTGAGATTTAATAGAGGGGTAATGGTGAAATACAGAGCATCCTTTTTAGATGGCCAGGCTGAATTTCTCCTGAACCAATGACACTACCGTAAAAACAAAAAATACGTGTTTAATATTTTTTAATCTAGTTACAAATTTTTACCTTTTTTGGAGAAAAATTATGCAGAGTAGCTCAAAATTTCAAATACAACCCTATACATCCTGACATATCATTTTAAATGATTTTTTACGCTGAAAACAATATTGCCACCGGTTTTTAAATTGGTCAAAAATTTACAAAGATATGACGAAAAGAAATCGGCAGTGTAATTTCGACAAGGAGCCGAATATTTTAGTATGTTCACGAAAACTGAATTCCTCTCTTCAAAATGTTGGAAGGGTTTTAGGTTTAAAAAAAAAAATTAGAGATGAACTCTGGACATACAATTTTAAGCCGTATCGCTTAAGGTTCTTCGGGACTTTGATTTATGACAGGCGTCTAACGTTCCTTGCACAAATGTCAATTTGGGAGGCAGAAGAATCTTCACAATCGTTCACCTCTAATGGCATATAAATCATTGGAATTTTCTAATATGGGCAGCGGAAATCCAAGAATTTTGTACTCTTTCATCATTAGATAGTTCACAGTGTCAACGTTTTAGGTGGACTTCTCGGAAATAAATTAAATTTTGAGCCTTTTTTATAGGAAAATAATTTAAACAGTGCTCAGTTCCTCAATTTTTTGAGGGAGGTTTTACTAACACTATTAAAAGATGTTCCCTGCAACAACGACAAAGAATGATTCTCCAGCTTGACGGATGCTCTGTACACAATTCTTTGCAGATGATATGTTATTTGGATCATCACTTCACAGATAGGTGGGTAGGACTTTTTTTTTTTTTTTTTTTTTTGCCTTATGATCTTGCATAATATCTTGCATCTTTTTGTGTTTCAAATTGGGGGTTATCGGAAAAAAGGGCCTGAGGTACCCAGTGTAATTTTCCTACAAAAAAGGGTAAAAGTTTGAAACTAGACTAAAAAATATTTTTTTTTTTTTTTTTTTTTGTAGCATCATTGGTTCAAGAGAAATTCAGCTGTTATATGAAAAAGATTGCATTTCCCCATCACATAGGAGGCGGTGTGTCATAGTAATCCACTCCAGACCACCGTGACGAGTGATATAGTTGTACAAAATCACAAAATTGGTGCACAGTCGAGCAATAAACGTGGTCGAGGAAACCAAAAAACTCGTAGAGAAAGTTTGTGTGTATTTTTGTACAATACAATTAAGAAAGACTATAAAATGATTATTTTTGTAAATGTTTGTCTATTTCATGAACCCAGCTTCTCTTTCTCTACCCACTAAATACAGCAAGAAGAAGGAGAAGCAAGTGCTCCTTGTCCAAGCTTGAAGTACACATTACAGTACACAATATACACAAACTGGATGTTTAAATTATTTATTACCATGAGAAAATGTTGCCATGGAACAACACTATCTACTTATGCTAGAGTACATGACCTAATGGCTTGGAGCAGTTAATGTACCGCTGAGTAGGCAAGCCTCAAAAGGAGGATACTACAGCAACCCAGCCATATAATGGGCTAGGTGAACTCCACTAACGTATAGACCCTAGGGTCAGCACATCAGGGAGTGACAACCCTTCGGGATGAATTCAATTAAGAACAGAAGCTGAGTAAAAGTATTTTATATTCTTACCATTTTATCTCCGTGTTTTCTTCTTATCAGATGTGGTCTATAATTATCACCGAAACGTATGAAATAGTAGTACGAAATAAGCCTGTCCAGAGGCTTACGAAGCAAATTTATGTATATCGGTCTCTGACTTGAGCCAAACCTACAAATCAAAAAGTTAATAGTCTTCAAGGTAAATTTGGTATATTTTCAAATTATTGCATGACACTATTCAATCAGTTATACAAATTGATTTTTTTTTATCGCAATTTACACAAGACTTACTTTTCAAAATCGATGAAAGCGACATGACCGTGGTAAAGCCCAGGTTTTTTTGCTTCCCAGTGTGTTACATTGTGGACGAATCTTGCCTGTAGAGAAAACAACACAAAACGAGGTAAAATAAAAGTATTTAATCGTTGTAATAATAACAGAATAAAAGTTTAAAAAAGTGTTATTAAATGTAATAAACTTTTTCTCCCATGGCTTTTTGAGTTATTCAGTTTTACAAGGATGAATGTAAAAAAATTCATTTAATAATAAAATGTACATATTATTTTATATTTAGAATATGCCCTCATTATTTAGCTTTCTACAGCCTTTAAAATTCTTGAAAGCTCATTTCTTAAGTGAATTGTTTTCATAATCAATCACCACCAAATTGGATTTGATTTGCCACTCTCCACCACATTGTAGATGACATCATCTTTAAGTGGAAACAGTTTTGCCCTGATCACTCTGAGACATTGCATTCAAGTTTTTGGTTTGTGGGAGAGTAGATATCACTTCTTCCAAATAGAAAAAAAATTACATTATGCCGTGGTATCTTTACCCAATTACCTTTTACACACACACACACACACACACACACACACACACAAACAAACAAACAAGCACGTGCACGAGTCGATTTGATTGGAAAATAACACCAAAAATACCTGATGCTATCTTAAGTAAATATTAGAAGTACAAAACATTCAGTGAACTTACAAAAGCCACATGTCAAAGAATTTGCATTATAAAAGGCAAAATTCCTCATTGTAGTAATAGATATCAGAAATAGAAATTACCTGGTCTGCAATTGACATGACACGAATGTTCCCTGTGATATTGAGATGTAGAACGTTAAACCCGTTACGCTTGCAAAGGTCATAAGCGACATTGACCAAACTTGTTGAGGCCGTTTTTGGAACTCGGTTGTAGATTAGGATATCGTTTTGGGATGCTTTCCTCTTTAAAGTATGCCCCTTTGCCTCCTCTGCAAGCTGGTTGTTGTACGCATTCTGCAACCTGGCAATTTTCGCCTCTGAAACAATTTTTCCCCCATCTAGTAACTAATATCTGAAACCATTTTTTAATCAAATAATAAAAAAATTATATCCAATATTAATGAACCCATTTTGGTATAAACTTAAAGCAGTCTGTTAAATTTAGATTTTTTTTATTGTGATGCTCACATTAATAACTGTATTCAACAGTCTTTTTTAAATTAAATTTATGAGATAAAAATATAATTTGTTTTTTCAAATAATTTATTGTTGTTGTTTTTTATAAAGAATCTTGATAATTATTCTATGATCTCGTTCCTAGTCTGAACTTAAAATAAACTTGTAATTATGAAGATAACATTTATAAAATCCCTAAGAATATGAAGATTGAAATTAAAGGAAGAGCCCATTATATTTAGTGATCTGATTAACCAAATTCCTTCTTTCAATTAATTATTATATTTTCATTTCAACCAAAACCTTACATAAAAAGATTTATTAATTTAAAGGAAAAGGTTTGATTCGTAAATATTTAGTGGAAAATTTTAACTGCAAACCAATGAAATTTGCTTTTTTTTCATTGGCTTATCAAATAATTAATTACTGCACAATTCCATTAACTGAAAACAACCTTCTTTTATTGTAATAATATAATTTTAATGAAGTTTATTTTTAAAAACTATCATTCAATATTTTCTATTTATTAGAAATTCCAGCAATTGTAATATGATCTTGTGCCTAGTCTAAACTTAAAATAACTTAAAGTTATGGGGGAAATATTTATAAAAATCCTAAGAACCCAGCTAAGTGAATCAGAAAGCAGAAATTTAAGTAAAACTCATTTAAACATATTTTGGGGCAAATTGTAATGTGATCCCTAAAACTTTAAATTTCATTATCAGACTTATAGTAGGATTAATATTAATTAATTATTTATGAATTCATTTAATTGTAAGAACCGAATTTTTTCTAAATGTATAAACTGGGTGAATTTATTTCTGATCAATTTATAACTGTGTAATATTGTAATAAATTTTATGATGTCTCAACATTTAAAATGATTAAAGAAAATATTTACAAAAAAAGTATTATTTTCAAATATTTTACATAAGTATTTAAATTTGTAATTATAGAAATATTAACAAAATTTAATTTCAATCTTTTGAATTACAATTTTGTGCAAGAGACAAATGTTAGCTTAGCAAAATGGTTTGTTGTTTTATTTTTAATGATTTTGATTATTGAGACCTGACTACCATAGTAAATTATTCCAATTTATATAATAAGCTTTATTTGAAATTTGATTCTTGAAACTATTATCTCCTTAACTTGTATCGATGTTTTCTTATATTTTGACCTCAACAGTTTAACTTATGATTTTTCCTTCTTGAAGGTGGGATCATAGGTCGTCAAGATGACCTATTATCCCACCTTCAAGAAGGAAAAATCATAACTTAATTTGTATTGTAATACATTTTTTCGGGTCTTCTATATTGAAAATGAACGGAAATACTTGTCACACTAGTTAATGAAAACCATGTTAAATACCATAACTATCAATGTCATAGTCACAGATTATGTTGAAATTTGAAAATATTTCACATGAAGTACATGATGGATAATTTGCAGTGGGTACATTCTGGACAAGAAATAAGAGCAGGTACTAACTTTTTTTTTTTTAATTAATTAATTAATTTTATTTTATTATTATTATGATTTTTTTTTAAAATTAGAACAGCGAGGTGATGAACCCGTGGTTCAGTCATTTTTGATCATTCTGTTCTGCCCCATTCCCTGTCATATACATTGTGTGGTGGGTTTGTGTCATTTTCTTTTTAATTTATTTAACTTCTACTAAAAATATGAGAATGGTTTATTTAAGCGTTTTATTAAATGAACTGGAGATATTGTTTAATGGTCAGTTCTTGAAAGTTATGATCAAGCAGAATCTTAGTTGATAAACAATTTTTTGTTGACTTCTTCAGATCTTTTGATATACTGCTTATCGAACAAAACCACATTTTGTTACAAATATTCTGTTTAGTTAGCACAATCATACAAATTGCATCATCAAATTTAACAGAAACAAGAGGTGTTGAAACTCTCAGAGGAAGGAGATACAGATTATTAATTAGCAGATAGTTTGAGAAAATATAGTCACTTGTTAATACGTCAGAATATAAAGTTAGGTAATACGCAATCAGTCACAGGAAAATTACTGACAGTCTCAGTCGAGTCAAACACACAGAGCAGCATTTTCACTTTACACAAGAGACATTAAAAAGTCCCATACTAGTCATGAAAATATTCATAGAACTTGTCTTCAATCAATTCAGTAATTACCAACATTCTGGAAAAAAGATAGATTCAAAACACAGATCTTGAGTTCACAGGATCTTGATTTTTGACTATCTGGACCCTCAGTAATGAAGATGGTGACAAGTTTAAACAAATCTGATAGACTGCTTTTAGTCTGTCCATTTTGTACCTGATTGAATACTTTGAATCAGCACTTATGATGTTGCCATTGATTTTCTGTATTTGTAGAGCTGGAGTTTGTTGTCAATTTTTGTAAATAGCTGACAGAAAAGTTTATACAGTTGTTATGTTTGGTGGTTGTTTGTCTTTCTGTCTGTTTAGTAACAACTATTTCAATTGATTATACTTTTTATCTCAACTAAGAACTCAGATAAAAAGTATTATTAATTGAAATAATTACTATAGTCAATTGTGATACTAATAAATTAATATAATTAGTAATTCATTAATATAATTAATGTAACAATTAATATAATAGTTACAATATTAAGATCCAGTGTAACAATAAATGTTTATTAATTTATTTTTCTGACTAGTATTTTGGAACTCTACATTCCCTCCATACAAAAAGCAATTGAGTATGTATGCTGAATGTTTTTGATCGTTAAGCAATAAACACAAAGAGCGATGGTGTTCACTTACAATTCCAATTTTAATAAATGTACCATCAAAGCAAGTACCTGTGTATAAGTTTAATGTGTTTTGATATAATTTTTGGAAAGTGTATCCTCACTTTCAAAAGAATACTGCTGTGAGTATGAATGAAGTAGTGTGTCTATTCTTAGGAGTATCCTTCGTAATGAAAATAGTTTTATCTTGTCATTTGTATTGTTTCAAAATAATAAACAGAAATGAACAAACTACATAGCAGAGTTGTGTACATTCAGGTCTTTTCTGTCGTGTGCTTGGGTACACAGAGTCCCTTGCGAACAGGCATTGATCACTTTGGGTCCGTCAACCTGAGAGTGAAGAAGGATTAAATAAGTGACGCATTGTTGGTTCAACATGAGTCCACCGACACGCAGACCAACACCTAGCATCGACTCTAACATTCCTAGATGACTCACATTATATGACAAGGTGTTCTGAAACCCCTTCATGTCAAAAATGCATAAAAATTCTTCAATAACAATAACAAAAATGTAATTTATAAATTCGCCATTTTATTGAAATGTTTACCTAAAGCGGCTGTGTTTTCTTCAAGCCTGACGAACTTGAACTGTACGAAGGTGCCGATGAAGACCAGGAGGAGGACGACGGCGAAGACGAAGAGACCATTTCCGGAGTTTAAGGGTCTGAACAGCATAGTAGCTGAAGATAGGCGAATCCGCCCCCATTTCAATACAATCCGGCCTGAAAGAACCTGGGCCCGGGCATTGCGACAAATTCCGCAACGATTTACATAATTAAAATTCAATCGCAAACTCGTCCCTTCTGCATAACAGTCACAACACGAAACGATGCGCACCCAAGGAACAGCGGGTGACAACTGAGGTCGAGAGTTGAGTCCTGAGTGCTCAACCTCAAGGCAAGCCTCAAAGGCTCAAATGTTTCCACTCCCAAGTTAAATCACTCGACACCCTACCAGTCGAACGAAATATCCCTATAAAAAAATCACACGCTAATTAATAAAAGTGCGATTAATTGAAAAAGTGTAGATAGTATTGTAATAAGTAAAAAAATTTAAAATAAGAGTTTTCACTAGTCTAAGTTTTAGTAATTTGTTGAAGTCGCATGGAACCAAAATCATATAAAACAGCTGAATACAAATTCACATGCCACAACACTTTCACACAAAACCAATATAACACCACAAGAATAGCACCACACTTTATGTTAGAATGAAATATTTGGTTCAAAATTTATATTTACATCTTAATTTTTTTTTTCAATCAACATATGTTTTGTAATTTACCCAGGCCCTGAAGATGACCCTAATAAAAGTCGGAACATCGGAAAAAAATGAAAAAGGTGTTTTTGTAAACTACCTCATTCTTGGCCGCTCCTCACAACTTCAATAAATTATGAAGCAACAGGTCACTAAGAAACACACACTCAGTTTTAGTGTCGGAGAGATAAATTTATGATATTTTCGAGTGAATTTAAAGTATATTTATGGTATCAAGTATCATGGTGCGATGAATTTCCAGAAGCAGGGAGCATATTTTAGTCCGATTGCAGCATGAAATACGTATTAAGTTTTTTTAATTAATAAAATAAGTACTTTTTCTTTTTCCCCATTTGAAATTAGAAAAACGCCTTGTAAAAATACAAGATCTCTTACGATAACTGACAAATAAAAGCTTCAAAACTCATAAAAAAAATTTACGAACTTACTTTACAACCCGAGAGGGTCTAGGTTCGAAACTCAGCGGCCCAGAAACCGTTGAGTCCACTGGCCCGGCGCTCCCTCCACTTGCTGTTATTTTTGCCACTGGTTAATCGCCGGTGTAACCTTCTCGCTGGTTACCCAAACACATTTCTCGTCCTGAAGATTCAAAAGTGGTAGATTTTCCATCCTGAGGGAATCACACCGTCGTTATTTTTCTCATGGTGTTTTTACGATTAAATAACTATTTTTGATTATTATAGTGTCAGTTTTTAAATATTCTGTATCGGAGGCCCTTTATAAGGTATGGCTTTTCCTTTGTTAACAAAGTCGAAATTGAAGGTTTGAAAAAGAAGCTTTTGATAAGATTCACACACATATTTAGATAAACTATGACAGTTCACTTCAAAAGTATTTCAACTGTTGTCTGAAATGTCTGTTTTTCTTTAATTAGTTCGAAAGATGCCGTGGCTGAGTTGTTGGGACGACTAATTCTTGAAATTGCCCTTGGAATTTTCTTGGTGAATAGTATAAAATCGTAAAAGTATTATCAGGCCCTCATCCATAACACCCAATGGGTAGAGTTAGGCCTCTCAGATGATATTTGATTCGACTAAGGCCCTTCATACACAAGTCAACTTGTGGTCGATGAAACTTGAGAATGTGATGCAACTGCGACACAAACTCTGCTCGATGGAAACAGAGTATACTTACACAGGCCGATTTTTATTAAATCTATTCGTTATAAACTGTATATAAATATTATCGACGGTTTAAAGGTGGTATAATGAATAGTTAAAAGTGATGAGGATATTGTCATGTTCTATTGGTACTGTCAAATGAAAAGAAGGCGAACAAAAGAATGGGTACATCCGTACAATCAATTAGCGATTAAGCCCCTGAAGAAAAACAATTGAATGCACTTTAAACATGTTGACAGAAAAGTACTCCCCATCTGAATAAGATAGATGACATAATTAGATCAGTTGTATACTTCACAATTATGTTAGAAACAAAGATGGCTCACAGTAGACTCCACAAATGTTGGAACGAAATCCCCAAATTAATGGTTCTACTTACCCATGCAATTTTAAGCCACTTCTCAGCAAAAATAATGTTAATTTAACTGCAAATACTTACAATGGAACTACTGTTTTTAAATGGCTAAATTTTAAATTAAATTTAACTATTGTTTTTAATTTATAAGTGGCTATACCATAATGTACCTCTTTGTGCTATTTGAAAAGCAATAATAATAATATAATCAGGAATAAGCAGGGAGGGTGTAGTTGAACAATTCAGGATATTTTTCCACTTCCTGTACAAATTTTATGTTCGACACCTCCTACTACTACTACCTACTATACTAATATATACTAACCTGAAACACGCAACTCGCTCGAATTTTTTGCAGTGCACACGAGTTGAATCCAAATTGCATTGCGAGCAAGTCGAGAACGGATCGAAATGGTGTCTACCTGTGAGTGGTCTACTTGCACAGAAAGTAAAGTTGTGAAAAAAGTTGTGTCACAGTTCATTGAGCGTGTGTAGACCTGTGTTTGGAGAGCCTAAGTTTTCTGGTCTGCCGTGTGAAGACTTCTTGGCTGGTTTTACACCAGGCAACTTGTAAAATTGACTTCGCTTCCCTATACCTCACAATTTACGAATATTTGTGTGCTTGTAATGTTTCGATATGATCCATCATCCTTCTGTCGCACTACTAACCTGCGATAATCACTTTCGAGTACTATCTATTGCATTCTGTTCTGAAGTTTCTGGTGTCAGAGGCGGCAGTGGGGCTCGTGGTGAATCCTCAGTAACATTACCGATTTATGCTCATATCTGCACATTATGAATCTATGACTTCTTGCAGCCCTCTTGCATTCCCACTTTTGTGTAATTTACAATGAATTACCAGCAGGCCACGAGAATGCCTACGCATTTGGCAGTCCATGATCAGATCTTATCCATTGGGGTTGGACTCCAGGGCTCACACTGTCACTCCTCTTAAATATATTCCTTCCTATTTATGTACTGTGGTGGAGTACTCAATATTCCTCAATCACAATTTTACACATTTAAGTAAAGTAAAGTAATTCTGTCATACAGGAGTCTTAACGTCTAACTACCTGTTGGGAGACAAGGACAAGGGATCAAATCAATTTACACTACATTTTTCTTACTATAATTCATTAAAAAACCATGGGCTCTGTAAACGAAAACCAACTCTTTCAAACTACACATTTATGCTAATAAATATATTTCTCAATGTATATACAAAAGGGAACACAAAACAAGAATATCTATCAGTACTATATACAATAAAATAGCCCTGTTTTCTCCAAAATTCGGAACAAGGGTCTGAAATGCTCACTTTGTGCTCAAGCACAATTCTCATATTGGGTGGAATTCTTACCAGCTCTCCATAGGGATCCTAGGAGTGGTACCCTTCAATTAAGTGGGTCACATTGACCAACTTTTCTCTCATGCCAGAGGCATATGCAGGATTTGATTGGCCTATTTGTAATTTGGTGAGAACGACCCCTCTTCTATGAGTCAAATCCTCCAACCAGTGCTCTTGATATGAGATATAAAAAAATGAATCATTACATAAATTTATTTATTATACTTTGACTTCCCACAAAATTTTTATGTCAAAAACATATAACTTATGAAAATAATGCAGTTAAATAAAAAATTATTTTGAAAAATAATTTTCTTAATGTACCAATGCGCTAAATAATTTCACTTTAAACATAAATGTTAATATTTATTTTATTTTTTGCAGGATTTTAATATTACAAAATGGCAGAACCTGATTTCTCTGATTTGGTTTTTGAGGCTGAGCAACTCGCTACCGAATTAGAAGGGGCTGATGAATTTCCAAAAATTGAACGATCCCTTAAACAAGTCTTAGAGGCCTCTCAGACATTGTGGTCTCGCGTGAGTGCCACGGGGGCTCAAGACATCCAAGCGTAAGTGTAAAGGAAAAAAAATGACAAAAAGCTTATGATTGACTCGATGCTCATTTTTATTTTGCTCTCATAGGAATCTGCTTCTTGGGACAAAAGGCCTTGATTTGCCCCAGGTCACGCAGAAACTTGAAACACTGAGTACAAGAAGGACGTTTGAACCCCTTGAGCCTGTCCCAACTACAGACATACAAAATTATTTGAAGAATGAGTCAGAAAACGCCATTTTACAGTTGATAGAATCGACACATTTTTCAGTAAATCACTTGTTTTTAATTTATTCGAATAACATTGAGTTTTAATTTTAATTTCATTTTTAGACTTTTAATTACATCAGCAGGTTACACGCTTCAAAAATCTCGGATGAGTGGAACCAGCACAAAAACAACTTGATGAATTCACTTCTAGGTTATTCAAAAGAAATAATAGATATACCAATGAGAAAAGAAGTAAGTGTTTCCATTTTACTGAAAAGAAGAAATAAAAAACATAAAATAATATTATAGATGTTAATATTGTTTGATTATTAATTTTTAGCGCACTGTCATCAATGAGAGTCTTTTCGGACTCCAGAGTTCGCTCGACCAGACTGAAATGGCTTATGCAAAATGCCTGATGGACTACAATAATGCCCAGCTGCAAGGCCTCCCGAAAGTCAACTTGCTCGAATCATTTCAGAAAGCGGCTTCCGTTCAAGACAACCCTGTAAGTGTTTAACAATCATCTCATTGCTCTCTAGATTAAAAAAAATGTGCTTTATAGAAATTGAACGAGATGTGGAAAATGTTGAGTTTTATGACTCAACTCCCACCACAAGGAAAGGGTGACCCACTAGTAGCAAGGGCACAGCCTCAAGTACAGGAATGCATGGTTGAACAGGCACTAAACTACCTCGAGCAAAGGTATTTTATATTTCCCAGATTAACAAAAAACTAAATTAATTGTAAAAAATATTCAGGTATAAAGAGTACATGAACATGGTCGTTAGTGGCAATATGGGAACTGCAAAGAGAGGCGGTGTCCCTGGAACTTATCCACTTGTCAGAGGGTAAGATTAAAAATAAAAATACTAAATTGTTTTATAGACTTTTTTAAAATAAAACTGTTTACAGATTTTTAAGCGTTAAAAATATAGGCAGTGAACTAGGTCTAGAAGAGACTTACATTGACGGATTGCCACTCTGGCCTTTGGTCTATTACTGCCTTCGTTGTGGTGATATCGGTGCTGCCTTTCAGTGCGTGCAGCAGGCCGGGTATGTTAATTAAAAGTTGTACATTGGGTATTTGCTTACAATCAAAACTTTTCAGCCCTTCAAAGAAAGACATGGTGATGGTACTGCTAGATTTAAAGGACAGCCCGCAACGAAGGTTGAGCACTCAAGCCGAAATGGAAGTGCGGTGCAACTACAGGAGAGTCGTACGATCCAGCACAGACCCTTATAAAAGGTATATCAATATATGTATATATATTTTTTTTAAATAATCATTTTTAATTGTTTATTTGATTTAAGGGCTGTTTATTGTCTGCTGGGAGCGTGCGATGTCAACGATGATCACAAATCCCTAGTGAAAACGGCAGATGATTATCTGTGGATGAAACTTTGGCAGTTGAGAGAAGAAGAACCTGAGCCAGTACCAGATCGTCTATATTATTCTCTTCTACAAACTTTAGTCCTTGAGGAATATGGTAAGTTAATTATATTAAAAATTATTATTATTTTACTTTAAACGCGAAATAAACATGCTTTCAATATATTTTAACCAATAACAGTTTCAGATAAGAAATAGCTTATTCAATGAACTATACTTTTTGTTTCCATTTCTTGTGTTCCAGGTGAGCAATATTATAAAGCTGGTGAACAGCCGCATTTGTTTTTTCAAATGTTGGTTCTCACTGGTCAGTGGGAATCTGCAATTGACTTTCTGATTCGTGTCGACAAATACAGGGCCCATGCTGTCCACATGGCTATTGCAATTCATGAGCTCAATTTACTTGCTTTGCCAGCTAGCATGAATTCACCATTACGTACGCATTAATGCTTATTCTTTATTAATTATATTAATTATTATGGTTATTTGTATTAATATTAAAAAAAATATATAGTTGTTATTGATGAATCGGACAAAGTGCCTATGAGGCGATTGAATCTTCTAAGACTGATACTGCTTTACACTCGTAAATTTGAGTCAAGTGACCCGAAAGAGACACTCCATTATTACTACACCCTTAGGTAACTAGCGTAAAATTTAAGAAACAGTTTTTAAACCATATCTAAACAGTTGATAAAGAAACTCATAATTTTAGGAATTTCCCAGGATTAGATGACGACAGAGATGCATTTTCATCCTGCGTTATAAATCTTGTAATTGAAACAAAAGAATATAAAACAATACTGGGTTATCTTGAAGTAGACGGTACAAGACATTCTGGCCTTTTGGACAAATTTGAAACTGGGCATGTATGTTTAAACAAATAAATAACTGTACATCGCTTAATGAATTTTTAACATTTAATAGATCAATGTGAGAACAATAATTGAAAGTGTGGCTAGCACGGCGGAGTCTCGAGGTCTAATAGAAGATGCAATCAGTCTTTATGATCTTTCAGAGGTTTGTAAATTGAACTGTAAAAAATCAATTTTACTATAATGAATATGTAATATTCTAGAACCATGAGAAAGTATTGAGCTTGCTCAATTCGATGTTGAGTCAAGTTCTTTCTAGCCCTTCAAGCGATAAGACCTCGCAGAGAGCAAGGCTGGTGCAGATGGCAGAGAAAATTGAAGCCCGTTACAGAAACCTGACTGTCAAGTGTAAGGCCTCGACACTCACCACTTTCATCATCCTCCATCAGCTCATCCAGTTCTTCGACATGTATCGCTTCAAAGAATACAACAAAGCCCTTGATGTACGATTTATTGTATTTTAACATATACAATAATTGTTTTTAACTGTGATTTTTTTAAATCAGATAATTCATGCTTGCAAAATCATTCCTACAAGCGAAGATGAGATGGAAGACAGAATTAATAATTTCAGAGTACTGGAGGACTCCATCTCAAGAAACATTTCTGACATCCTTCTAGCAACTATGCACATCTACCATTGGCAGTATCAACAAACTATGTGAGTTAAAAAATAAATAGAGTTAAATTATGCCTGACCCTGTTGAGTTGTCACGATAGCAGCTCTTTGTTCGAATCTCAGCATAGCCCATGGAACTTCAATTAAAAATAATTTGAAAAAGGATTGTAAAGTGCTTTGACCCCTTGTCCATGATGCCTACTTGGACGTTAAGCCCTTCTCTATGTATGACTTGATTTAAATTAGACTTCAAAACTGAACAGTTTTGAAATATAATGACACAGCTGTATATTTAAAATTAGCGTAAGGGCAAGCAAAAATACAATACATGGAGTGAACTGCCATATCTTTTATGCCATGTTTGAAATCAGATATTTTTACCCAGCCCTTTCATTTCTGATTTTTGAACAATTAACTATTTATAATAAAATTAAAACTAATCATATATGCTAAATACTAACTTGAATTTTAGAGGAGAGCTAAAGAAAGGCACTGGACCTAAGCTCGAGGACATAAACCAATCAAAGGTATGATTTAATTTTTTGTTTATTTATTATATAGAATTTAATTCCTTTTTCTTTTTGTGTAATTTATAGCAATTGAACTTTATAAGAGAAAAGGCAAGGCTGTTGACAAGTTTTGCCGGTACGATTCCATACAGGATGCCAGGAGATACCAACTCTCGGCTTGTGCAACTCGAAATTCGAATGAATTGATGTAAAAAAAAAAAAAAAAAAAACAACTTTCCATACCTTTATTGTTAGCCTGTAAGTTAATTAAGTTAATATTTTTGTGAATTTTTGATATTTGTTAAAAATACACAGTTTAATTATGAAAGTTTTATTTCTTTTACCTTAATTTTTTACTACACATGGCTACGATTTGTACTACCAAAAAATTTTAAATAAAAAAAGAATTGCCAATCAACACATAAATATTTATTGACACATAAAACAAATATTTCACAACATAAAATCACGCCACACAAAAGATTATTTTTTTCGTTTAAACAGGCATTTTAAAAGGGACGACTTTAATATCTTGACTTAGATCAATTATTCTTCCTTCTTTTTCCTAAAATAAATATTGAGAATCAACCTGGGCATTTAACTATTAGCATTTTTTTTTCTATACTCACAGCCCTGTAGTCTAGCATTAACTCCTTAAATGCCGAGAAGTCTGAAAGTGTGTAGAGCATGTCGAAAACTTCCCCTTCGAGGATTCCTTTATTTTTCCTAAACAAAAATAAAAAAGTTCTTTTATCTATAACTCAGATGGAGTGTGGAGAACAAAACAACAAAACTAAAATAGTTGAATAAACAGTTGGCCAAGTCTGAACTAATGCTTGAATTGATTTTTTGAAATTTCTTCGCATTTTTAGTATAGAAGAGAGCAGCTTCACAAATAATGCTGTGTTTTAAGGCAATTTTGTTGCTGTAGTTTCATTGTTTGCCTTCTTCAGTAGTAGGCCAGAGTATAAGCAGGGAGATGCAAGGCACCAATACTAGCCCACCACCGATGTACAGCCAAAACCGTGATAAGCAGACCCAAGTGAACAGAAATAACCAAACTACAGGTTCATTACCACGACCCCAAAAGGAAATTTGAATTTTTTTGTTAAAAATCTTGAGGGACAGTAATATAATATGCAATATGAAACATACTAGGAAAGTAGTTTTGCCAATTATCTTAAACTGTCTTATTATTGTGATTGATCATTGTCTTTATGTTTGACTATACAATTTATCAATTTTGTAAAAATTTGTTGAATTATTTAGAATATTTTCACCTTAATTCATTTTGGAAGAATTCCATGTTGAAATTGGGAATTTCCTGTTTAAGTCTGTCCTCGATGCACTGCTCGATTGTAGCAACCTGAAACAATTTTACAAATAATTCCCCTAATCGTCCAATCGCGTGACACCGCCAGACCACTCACATAGTTGTCAAATATCTCTGTGTACATTAGCTTATTCTCTTCTCCTTCGTCGAACTCGGTCCAGTGCTTGTCAAGAAATTCCTTTTGAATCTTTTGGAAGTTGCTATCTATGAGGTGAAAAAAAAATTATGTGATTATAAAAACAGAAATTATCCTAGTTCTGAGTCCATTACCGATCAGTATGTCCTCGAGGTGACCTACTATCTTGTCAAAATAGGTCTCTTCTAATGGCAAACTTATGGCACACATTTCCTCATCATCAGCTTCACAATGACAGTATTCTATAACAACATTTAAAAAACAATTCAACGAAAAAATAATTGGTGAATTGTTTTTTGTAGTATAAATTAGTATGAATACCCTATTTATAATTTAATTACTCTACAGTGTCTGCTTTTAGCTTAAATAGGAGGGTTTTTATTCATAATTTTACCTTTAATTCACAAAAACCATGCGATTAAAGACTTCAAGATTTTTCAACAATCTGTTTTAATACAATGAACACAAATTAATCATATGGTTATTTGGAGAAATACAATTTTAAAAGGGATTTAATTTAATCATAATTATACTTTATATACAGTAAAGTGCAAATTAAGTAATTTTATCGTCTGATGTACAAGTGACAAGCAATTCATTAAAATACTGACTATTTTGGATTCACAAAAAGTATTTATTTTGGGGAATAAATTTGGTTTTTTTGTAAACAGATAATTATTTTAAAAATATTTTTGTAGCATGGAATTTTCCTATTGAGTTGCAGTAATTTTAATGGGCTATGGGCCAACATGCTTAATTCTTATGAAAAATAGAAGAAAACTATGAAAATATACACATTCAGGGGGGAATGATGAAATGGCATCTTGAAAGGAAAAAATGCCCAGGTCAGGAAAATCACTTACAAGACCCCAGAAGAGGATTTCATTTTTATGTAGTCAGTATCATAGATATAGAAAGTGATCATCGGTCGACCCTGTCCTGGCCTTCTAGCGTGAAGCCCTGTTTCTCTGAAGTGTTGAAGAACCATTCCTATCGTAGAGCGATTTACACTCAGTCTCCCGTTGACTTCGCACTAGTTGTATCCTTACTCTAATAATGTTATGACCCTGACCTGTCATACTCACTGAAATGCCTGACCAGGGCCATTGAAAAAGGTTTAAGAACAAGAATAATGTGTTTTTTTTTAAATCAAGAGACTCCTCACTCCAACAAATGAATAAGGAATAATAAAAAATGAAATAATCAAAGAAAAAAGATTAATAGAAAGCGATCTTTAGGCGTAGCAGAATGGAAGGGCATAATGCTACTTTTTGTGCAAATGGGATTAATTAGAACAAAAATAAATTATGGAAGTTAAATTATTTACTGTTTATTTTTTCTATGATAGCTCCTAATTACCTGTAACTAATGTGAATGATAATGCATTCAATTTTGAACTAAATAGAGTGGTTCGACAAATTGTCCATCAGTGTACCATGACTATTTAGCAGTTCAGACAAAATTTACCAGGCTTGCTCATGTGGCCTGAGTATTTTGAATTTGGAACTTAATACTTCTTTTTGTCACCTTTTGCATTCTAGTCCTGAAAGTGTACCAACAGATACTTCAAGTTGGCATTACTTGGGTGAATCCGGCAGTTTGTTCCAACTTGAATGCCTAAATCTCATTTGCCCTTGGAATTCTGCCGATTGATAGCACTATTTTATTATTATTTTATTGGTCAAAAACCCATTTCTTAAAAAGGAAATGTATACAAAAGGAAGAAGAAAAAAATATGTACAATGCAATGTTTATTACTGACTTAACATTAATAAAGAATAAAACACTACATCAATGAAAAAGACAATAAAATCCTTATAAGTAAACAACATTGATTTAAGTTGATTAATTTAAGTAAACATTCTGTCTATATAATTATAACGACTAGGAAAATCTACATACATAGTACATTTTTAGCTTTTTTAACTAAATAAAATTATTATGCTTCAAGTAACTGACGTTTTAATGAGGAAACAGAAGTATTAAATAAATAAATCGAGCATATGCATATGTTACTCGTGATGCATCGAGAAGTGAAAAAAATTTTTCCTTTAAACCCAATAAAAAATATTTTCCGATTTCTGAGGTGGCAAGAAGGTAGATAAAATTGGAGTTTATCAACGATTTCTGTGGAATCTGTACAATTATTAATTAATTTGAAAATAAAAATAATCTCAAAATATTTTCTTTAAGACCAGAAATATTGTAGTTAGATTTAATGGATTTTGTCATTGTGACTGTTTAATTTGAAATATAATGTATGAAGGAATTTATTTTGAACAGTTTATCAGTGTAATTGTGTGGATTCCAGATGGTTGAGACATATTCAAGAATAGGTCGAACAAGTGAATTGGTGGACATAGTAAGAAAGATTTTTGAACTGACAGGTACTTCCGATGATGAAGTCAAGCCTATTTTCAGAGATTATTATTAAATTTGGACCTATCACCGTTTTCACAACCTGAATTAAGACTTTACGATATTATTTTTGTTTATTGAGGAAAAAAAAGATTAAAAAACAGATTGCACCAACCAAGAGTTTATTTTATTTTATATATTTTTTATTTATTAATTATTTATTTGAGCTTGATAAATTTAACTTTTAGATTTATTAACTTCCTTTTACTTTTTCCTTATAGGGGAGGTAAGAAACACAAAGCAAGGCTTTTAATTTTTTTATTTCACCAAGTCTTCTTAGATAATCATTTGATATAATTTCAATTTGTAAGAAATCTTTAAAGATTATGTAGATATCAAACTCTTAAAAACTGACAAAATGAGAAAAATCAATTTACAAATTGTTACTATCAGTAGTGCTGTAATGAATCTTGTACCAGTGAAATTCTTACAGGGTGCATTGTTTTTTAAGCTCTTATAAAAATATGGATTTTGTATTTTTCTTTGTATTTTATTGGGGATTTTTTTGACATTTTAAAAGAGCATTTACAAATCTAATGTCAAAAGCCAAGATAGTACGACCAGAAAGATGTTTCTACGTGTTAAATCCGATTTGGTTAGAAGATGTAAATGGGGTATGGATGTTTCCATGTGTCCACCTACCTTTCTCGAAGCTGATGAGATTGTTATTAGTGATATTCCGTTCACAAAGGTTGTCCATATTCGATCCTGATGTGATACCAACGATTTAACTTGAATTTTTTCTCATGGGAAATTTAACAGAGAGAAAGATCAGATTTTAACATGCCCGCCTGTAATAACACATTGGTTTCTATAGAAACGCTTCAAAACATTAGCCTCCTTGGGAATTGTTTCTGCGGGTTTTTCAAATTATCGCTTTGTTTTTTATTAAAATTGAGCACTCTCGCGTATGATAAGAGTGGATTGAATTTCAATTTTTTTTCTCTCATCTAGGTGTATGTTTCTCATGAAACTGAAAGAGTCGTCCGCTGACGCATGTAGGAAGTAGTACTCTTGAACAAAGGATGCCAGAGTTCCATTTATGGCCAAATTTTAATCTAGCCACAGCCATTTTTCTTCAGGGACTAAGGAAACTATGCTCTAACGGAAAACGGCCAGATGAATGACTAAGAGCGAGACTAGACGGACCACGGATGGTGTACAAATGAAAAGAAGCATAATTAAAAAGGATCATTTCATCACCTTTAGAAACAGTTTGAAAGGGGGAGGCGAGTCCATTTCGGTTGGCGGGCAGGCTATCGTCAGTTATGAGACGAGACCCACGAGGCGGCGGTAACCGTATTGTTACCTTCCGCATAGTCGTATCGCGTCTTGTGCTGACAAGTAGTCGTGTATAAATATTTCACCGGTTGTAAGAAGATACGCCGTCGTAAGATTTGATGCATTTCATCGTTTTAAACAGGCTTTTTATACGTCCATCCGCAATTATTCGAGCGGTGTCGGCCAAGTGGAAATCGAGTGAAAACTCTCTTGTGAATCTTACATTCGGCGCTGTCATGGATCTGGACAAAGATTCCGTTCTTCGGCCGACCTCCGACGCGGCCACGCAGTGCTTCCAAACTTCAAGGGAAGAGTCGATGTTCGTCTGTCGGCAGTGCTTCTCCGGCCCGGAGAGCGACGGCGAAGAAGAGCAGCCTTCAGTCGAATCGGATCCTCCACCGTCAAACTCGCAGGTAAAATTAAACGATTTTGACATATTTCCACTTTCCACATTATAAACAGGTAGATTTGCATGCTTTACTCGCAAGAACGGGTCGCCATCAACTGAAAAGTTGTACGGGTTCAAAAACCTGTTGTGTAGCTAATTGTTTCTTGAAAAGAGCCGATACCAAACGGACACCAAAGTTTCAGGAATACTGAAAAATCTGTTGCGTATTCAATCAGATTTACCTTGCCAAAAATTATGGATGGTTAGGGTTATTCACTTATGACAGCTATACAAAATACAGCTTCCTAAAAACATCATCTGGACGTGATTCGATAACAGCTGAAGTTCATCAAGAACTTTCAAAAAAAAAAAAAAAAAAAAAAAAAAAAAAAAAAAAAAAAAAAAAAAAAAAAAAAAAAAAAAAAAAAAAAAAAAAAAAAAAGCCGTCGTCTTAAATGTAGATGTATTAGTCGGGGCGTAATGCACTGCGCCCTTTAAGAGCTATTGTATCCCCGATCTGTGTCTATAGCACACCGGTGAGTAATATTTCATCAAGAAACATGATTAGTAGGCCGGTTTCAGTGATTGAATTTCTTCTACAGTCACATTGTACATCACAAAACAGTTCTTACTGCGAGCAAGTGTGGCACCACAGTTTGTTAATAGGTGTGTTGGTGTCTCCTCTGTTTCTTTGCGAAATCTGCATGTGCCGTCTTGGATTGTAGCAATCTTCTTTAAATGTCCTGTTTAGTTTGGAGTCACAGTTTTTCCTGCTTCCTTTGATACATTCTATTCCTTCCGAATTTTTTTAGGAGATTCTTGAATTGTGTGTCCAATAAGTGAATTCCATTGTTCCCTCATTTTCTTTTTGTCCTGTATGAGGTACTCATTGATAGTGTGGTTTCCTATGCCACAGAAGGGTTCTGGTGTAGCAGACTTTTTTTTTGCAAGGTTGTCCGTTGCCTTCTGCTTCCATATGTCCTGATACCCGACAGAGGAAGCCGTCGTCTTTATGACAATTTTATTTACCGCAGTTTTGAGAACTACACTCTTTCTTACGTTAAAATGATCCCAAAGCCTCATAAAAATTTAGGTTCCCATCATTTTATCGTCCTATTAGTTACCCGTTCCTTCTAAATTATTCGAAAAATTAATTTACAAAAGAATTATCTCCATTGCTACTTCAAACAACATCTACCAGACCATCAATTTGGCTTTCGAACCAATCATTCACCCCACATCGACTTCACGGAGTTACAGATTTCATTACTGAGACATTCAAGTCTCTTCAAGAAACTGTACGCGAATGAAGTGTTTCTAGATGTTTCTCAGTCCTTCGACAAAGTACGGCTTGAGGGATTATTATACAAATTATTTTTACCCCAGGCCTATTATCTGATTATACAATCATACCTTAAGGAGAGATTTTTCGCAGTAAACCAGGGTACGGAGACTTCTGAGATGAAAGAAGTGCTTGCAAGTGTGCCACAAGGGCCAATACTCGCTCCACTGTTGTACCCAATTTTTACTTTTGATATGTTCACAAATGAGAATGCACTTACCGCCACATACGCAGATGATACCGTCATATCACAAATCATCTCTATTCTACACAAACTTCACTTATGTTACACAACCAACTATCAACAATTGAAAAATGGAGCAATCTTTGGAAAATAAAGTTTAACCCCTCAAAGTCACAACATATCACCTTTACACTCCATCTTGAGACTTGTCTTAGCATATATTTAGACAATGAACCTATTCCTCAATCCGACAAAGTTAACTATTTCGAACTTACTTGGAAGAAGACTAACTTTGAGACCACACAGACTATTAAAAATACATACACTGAACAAACGATTTAAAATGTTTATTAGCTACTCAACCGACATAAAAATTACTATTAAAATCAAAACTTTACAACTAAAATCAAACCTACTCAAACCTATTTGGATAAATGGGTGCCAAGCTTATAGATCGGCCAAATATTCCAATAATCAAAGATTACAGTTTTCAATTTAAAATTTTAAGACTATTGTTTCTGCCCCTTTTTACATAAACAATAACATACTTCACATAGATCTTCATGCCAACAGTTTTTTCATCCATCAAAACATATTATTACAGACATTTTCATAAGAAATTGCAAATCACCTAACACAAACACGATTACTCCATTCCCACAATTACTACGTAAGCGACTGAAAAGAATATAATAAGATACCTCTTAAATGATAATATCATTTTATTAATCCAGAGCGGGCTGCCAATGGGTAGCTTTCTCTATAACGCCTGTAATGCCACAAACATAAATTGAAATCCAATCTGCTGGTTGTGTATAATACATGTATAGTTGAAGATAAAAATAAACGAAAAAAAAACATGCCAAGAATCAGTACCATTGTTAAACTGTTCAGAATTGCGATAAGAGGTCATATTTAACACTTTGAACCATTATAACAAACATACTTTGTTCGCTATGTAATTGTGGACCTTTTAGACCTAATGTTCCCCCGTCCGCTAAGTCTCTCTACCGCCACTTACGGAAATGCTCCTTTAAAGGAAATCATAAATACTGAAAAATTTTATTTTAGGTAATTCGTGTAATAATAATTAAGTGTATGAATTGGTTGTCGTTGCAATAAAGGAAATTACATTTGAGTCCCTGGAGGCCAAAATTCAACTATTTCCCTAAGGATGTCTTCGAAAACATCCACATTTCTTGCCGTGCTTCATTTCCGCCACGTAAATTCGCATAGATAGGAGTCCAATAAACTTCGCCGGGTACTCCACTGCCATTTGTTTCTCGCCTTCTTTTCCCCGTACACTTTCAATGCACTGCGTATGTTCACGGGTGTGGGGTCGACAAAATTGAAAGAGTGGTTCTATCTTATGGCGGAAACTAGGATGCTGGGGCAATGTTTCATATGCCTTCCACCGATCGGAGATGATGACAGACCTAACAGGGATCCGATCACGAATTATGGCGATAGAGTGGCGGCTGTTCTGTCCGGAACGGCCACTAGAAAACTTTCTCTCGTTTCGCGGCAAATGCCACCAAAAGCCCACTACTGCGGTAAAATTCTCCCGGTGTTGTTTTTCCGGCGTGAAAACAGCGCTTCATCAATTTCTACAGCGCAATTGGGACCACCAATGCGCGAATGTCTGCGCAAAATAGAGTTCGCATTGACTTCGTGCTTGTAGTTGCACCCTTCAACGAACGTGTTATGATTTATACTTAACTCTCAGAAAATTTAACGCTTACTATGGTACATCATGATGGACGTATACGGCAGTCTTGAGCCAGTTATATTACTTCTTAACGCCATTTCCGCCTTGCATCCACGTTTGTAGCACATCATCTTGTCACGCGATCCTGTCATATGCAGCCTCGCGTCATATCCTTCTGTACATCGCACAGCTAGTGGAAAATGCCCTTTTCCTGAAGGAAACGAACTGCCGAGTGCGAGAAAGTTCATTTTTATCTAACACCGAACTCTTTGATAACTGGTAGACAACTGAGTGAACGACGCTCTTCACCTTGACTCAAAATTTAAGATGATATAGGATAAGAACGGAAGCCCAGAGACCTGTCTTTTGCCTCGATCTGTGTCACAGAGAGCGGTCGAGTGGGGCAGAGGCATATTAACTGAAAAGTTCGTAATTGTTTCTGGGTCCGTCTTCGGGTTTGTTGAACTGCTCATAACCGCGAGTGAAGAAGGACCCCAATAAGTGACCCAAGGCGGTTCAGCATGAGTTCGCCGAGTTGTAGACCAACACTACAGTATCGATTTTAATTTGTTCTCAGCTTGTTCCATCATGGTTTGCCGGTTCAGCATGAGTACTTCAAATATCCAGGCGAAAATATTATTGCACCTTTGTCAACTTGCGAGATTAGGCGGATCCATATTTGTTGTTGTATTTTATGTAAGGTCTGGTGACTCAGAAACATTCAAACGTCATAAACTGAAATTTATTTGCAGTAACGAGTAATGAAATCTTGAGAGGTTGCATCACAGTAAAATGAATTGACCAGTTCTACTGAACAATCAAGAGCTTGAAATTCGGTATAATTATCAATCTACCCGGGAGATTAGTGATATACTAAAATTAGAATGTTTTCATTTATTTTTTCATTTTGGTTAGCCAACAAAAACCCATTTTCTTTATTCCATTAAACAACATATTTTAAAAAATTGACTAAAAAGTAAACTAGTCCGTCAACGTGTAAGTTCATATATGGAACAAGTTCTTCTATGAAGTTGTGCTTTATTAATCGTGGTCCGACTAGTCTCGCTGTGTAATCGGAGTCATTCTCTCCCATTGAAGAATGTGAAACAGTTTTAGCTGAACCTAGATGATAAAGCTGTTTCGCAGCCAATCAAAACTCAACTACCGTCTAATGTGTTATTTTGCACTCGCCTTTCTTTATTTTATTTGTCTGAACTTCCTTTCCTCTCTGTAAAATTCTACATTAGCGCAAAACTAACACTGTAGGTCCAAAACGGCAAGGATAGGTGGACAAAAATGGTCACGGTCAAACTGGTTCATCGTGCCGTAGAACCCAAGAGGAAAATCTCACAATTATTTCTTGTATAATTTTGTAAATTGTGACCACAAAAGGATTGCTGGTAAAAATCCACTAGAACAAAGAATATTAAATAAAACTGAAATAAAATCCGTTTACATTTCCGTTTTCGTAAATTGGTTAAAAAATCTTTTTTGAGTAGTTTAAACTTTTATCATTAAAACAAATTAAAGAAGGCACTTTATTCTGAAATTCACAGTTCGAGAACAACGCTGGTCTCACCGTTTAAATATTGAGAGAATCCTTTTAGGGATTTGAAGGGGTAGAAATAAAAGACATTAGGAAAAAAAGGAGGAGTTACCCCTCTTTGAATAGCTGTTCGTCCAGAGTTCCCTTTTCTTTCCCAAGTGCGGATAAACCTTTAGCCTCTCATTAATTCCAATAAAGTTCACAGAGCGGCCACTTCACTCCAATTAGTACAGCCTTAGGCCCTG